ACTTTTAAAGTGCAGATAGCACAATAAGAAGACCAAAATTGCAGTTTTTCGGCTATAACTCAGCGAATCGGGCCAGAAAATGCCTGAAATTATTATATCTTATAGTGTTCAAGATGCTGTACACAATGAGGCCCATAATTTTGTGATCTGGCACTTCAAAAGTACATTTTTTTGGCATTGAATGTTGAAATTTGCCATTTTTCAGCAACGGTTTCCTTGCCGTACATAATAAGTATCATTACAAAATTAATATATTCTGAAGGACAAATGTGTCAGCTTTGAAACACAATTTTCAGATTCAAGCTACACTTCGAGGCTAGCGAGATATTGGCAAAAATGTAAGAGGCGTATCTCATTTTTTCATTTTTTCGGACGCCGGTCGGCGGCAAAAATAATTCGGAATGCTGTGCCCCGGAGCTGCAAATTTGGCCTCGGGTCCGGCTATGGGAGCTAAGAGCCGGAGCCGGAGCCACAATTTTGACCGTGGCAATCTCTGGTTGTAGCCTATGCTCCTTTCCGGCCGGAAAGACCATTGAGCGTTACGATGTTTATGTAAAAAATTTTTCTTTAAGTATTGTGAGATTTTTTTGGGATTGATACCAAAAATTTGTCGAAAATTTGAAGAAAGCCCGTTGCAAAAACCCTCTGATAAGATGTCAATTTAAGTTGTAAGAGAACCCAGCTTAGTGTTACAGTAATCCTCCAGTCCGATTACTCCAACAAAAGCTATTCCGAGCATTTCTTGTCGCATTCCGTGAACTTTCGTACTTCCATTGACGCTGCAGATTAAGGAAAAAGCATTCCGGCTCAAGTGTACGCTACTTCCTGAATCCCAAGCATTAGTTGTACCACCCGCCTCCTCAACTTCTTTTCTTGCGAAATCTCTGGAAGGATTTACTGACGCTGATCTATGAGATATTTCTGCACCTAAACTAAAATTATATTTGCGGTTTTGCCGGGATTAAAGCGCTTACGAAATCTGAAACAGCGGATGTGGGATTCGAACTAAGCTTGTAGTAGCGAGAGATCAACGGAAGCAGGACAAATTATACATCCCCAGTTTTTTTCAATAGTCGAACCCCTAGGACTTGATCTTCGCAATATTGCAAAGAAAGTCTTCAAAAATAATCCCGTAAAAAAAGGTTAAAAAGTAAATTAATAGGTCTTATGTGAAGCCGTGTAATGTCTATACGGTCTGTAGAAAACAATGTCAAAAGCTGTGACCGAAAACAAAAATGTTTTAGCTGATGAGATTTGCAAGAAAAGGTTTCTTGATTAGATGTCTAAATTTCATCAGGATTGATTACAAAAATTGCCAAAATCCCTGTCAATGTTTTCCTTATCAGCGCAATGGAACTGGGACGATTGGGGAAAAAGACGATTGGGGAAAGGGACGATTGGGGAAAAAGACGATTGGGGAAAAGTACGATTGGGGAAACCGAAAAGTATTATTTTTCTTCCATGCAAATGTCGAAATTAGGATAATCGAGGGTGCTCATTTCGAAAATGACATTCTTTTTTTTGATTCTTACTTTTTTTCTTAAGTAGTACTGTAAAGTAGTAATTTTTGATTTTTTTTCATAAATACTCGATATAAGGGTTTTCGAGGGTGCTGATTTCGAATATCGGGTTTATTTTTTCTGAACATTACTAGTGTTCCTTAAGTAGTACTGTTAAGTACTAATTTTTAAAAAATTTTCGGAAAATACTGGATTTAGGGGATTTCGAAGGTGCTGGTTTCGAAAATCATGTTCATTTTTCCTCTAGTACTATATAGTACTATTCTGATACTATATAGTACGAGGTCAAAATATGGCTTTTGACGTTAATGGTGTTGTTTTGATGCTTAGTACTCTTCAAAAACACGTTTTAAAGACTTGGTGCTATATAGTACTACCTGATACTATGTAGTACGAGGTGTAAAGTTGGCCTTTAGGCGTTCGTGGTGTTGTTCTGGTGCTTAGTACGCCTATTTTTACTTCGTACTACATAGTATCAGACAGTACTATATAGCACCAAGTCTTTAAAACGTGTTTTTGAAGAGTACTAAGCATCAAAACAACACCATTAACGTCAAAAGCCATATTTTCACTTCGTACTGTATAGTATCAGAATAGTACTATGTAGTACTAGAGGAAAAATTTACATGATTTTCGAAATCAGCACTCTCGAAAACCCCTAAATCGAGTATTTATGAAAAAAAATCAAAAATTACTACTTTACAGTACTACTTAAGGAAAAAAGTAAGAATCAAAAAAATGAATGTCATTTTCGAAATGAGCACCCTCGATTATCCTAACTTCGCCATTTGCATGGAAGAAAAATAATACTTTTCGGTTTCCCCAATCGTACTTTTCCCCAATCGTCTTTTTCCCCAATCGTCCCTTTCCCCAATCGTCTTTTTCCCCAATCGTCCAACTCCGCAGCGCAATAACTACTGATCTAATGTTGTTTTTTAATGTTTATTTACATTTGCTTTTTTGCAATCATCTCCGTTTAAAAGCAAAGTTTTACAAAGGCCTATATCAAATTACACCTCATAGAGAACGTGTTTTTATCTTTTCGATCAATTCTTCTAACGCTTTTTTCAAAATAATACAAGTAACTTATACTTATAGTATTTATGATTATAAAGCCCAGTTATTCTATTCTAACAACCCCTAGAGTTTAGCTACTGTAGATTTGAAAACCTCAAACACCGCACGAATTCCATTCTTATCCTTCCTGTTGACTCTACTCCATTTTAAGGCCATTTGATCAGATAAGGACTGTTTCTTCTCTTTGCAAGAGTGTCTTCTAAACTCAGCATGAACTTTGGAGGCCAAGTGGATCCCTGGTTTTGGCCAGGATTTCTGAAGAAATATGACGAAACTTGGCCCAGAAAATATTTATATGCGGTAAAATTTTTGTCAAAATTCAAATGAAGATTAAATTTGCATAACTTTTTTTGCAACATCAGCATACATAATTTACAAAAATTAAACCTTTTTTAATAGTCAAAATTTTGTTCAAAATCTCATCCAAAGCCATTTGGTGACAAGTTCAGTCTTTTTCGCTTTCAAAATTCTTGTTTTTCCCAAAAGATTACCCAGATTTGTCCCATTTGTTTCCAAATCACCCCAGACTACCGTACCCCCAAATTATTTCCATTTATCTCCAATTTCCTTGATCCCCCCGCCCTGTCTTCTGACGCTACGTGAAATCCTGAGATTTATTCAAAAATTTCCCGCAGACTGCACGATGGCCATTTCCAGACCCCATTCAACGTGGAAACTGCCACGTTTTGCGGAAATGAGGACGGCCCACAACTTCCTCCCGTTCCGAACTGGTTGGGGCCTTTAATTGGATAATCCCGTTATGTCCTCATGCAGTAATTTTGGTATAATCGTAAAAAAATGACATCAAAAAAACGAGGTTAAAGTGCAATTACATAAAAACTTCCAGAACCTTCAAGAACAGGGGTTAATTCGGCCAAGGAATGCGGCCAATGGACAGTTGGATCTAACACTCGGAATAAATGCCTTATCGGGTTACTGGCACAAGATCTTAATCGAATTGAATTCATTACAATGCCATTGGAAAGGGGCTCTTGTCTGTTAAAGGTAGGGTTTCGTAAACAAGAACGGCCAAGTTCCAGTAAGTAACACGTTCGAATACGCGAAATACGGGTCACGTCAACTTTTCATAACAGAACTATTAGTCAATTGGTACGAAATTCGTTTTGTCCTGATCAAAGTACGGGTTGCAACAAAGATCGAAATTTTATCAGGAGATATTATATCCGTTTTACATAAAAATGTGAAAACCTGGAAAGGTAAGGCACAGAACATCGTCAAATTTGATCACGGAGTTCCCAATAGTCCACAAATCAATGCCTGAAACTTTCAGAGAGCAGTTGAAAAAGGCCATTAGGATATTCAACAACGAGGAACAACCCTTTTCAACTATCTTTTGGGAACTCTTTTGGGGGAAAAAGGTTCTATTTCAAAACACAATGATGAATATCGCAGGGGCGTGAAAATTTCAGCTCATTTTTTGCCCGAAAAAAAGCGATGGCTCCTCCAAATTGCAAAACGAAAATTTGATCTTCGAAATGCAAAATTTGAATTCCGATCTGCATCAGATACCATCAAAATCCATCAATTGCCCTAATACAACTTTCCAAGATTCAAGAATACTCCCCAGCATATCAATTACATCATCCACATGATCTCTGTATCTCCAACTGCTCAATTAGTTCCAATTTCCTCATCCAGAAGGCGAGAAATGCGGAAAATTGGAATCCGAGGAAAACCTGAAGATGCTCACGCATTGCTGTTGTCTTTTTCGTGAGGACAACATCCTTTTGGTGGGCTTTGGAATCTTTTTTAAGCCATTTTATCTGATAAATAGAGTTTCTTCCGGTGGGAGAATTGAAGATAAACACGGAAGGAATCGTCTATGTCAGCCACCTGTCTGTGACCGCATAGACTGAAAAAAATAAGAAATAATCCTTTTATAAAATACGACCAAATCCTAATCCAACATTAATCATCCAAAATCGAACACATTATCGATTTATTCGCTTTTAAATTTGAGTATCATTAATTTTACCTGGGAAAACAAAATAAAACCATAGACTGTATGACATTAAAAAACATATTTCGAGTATATATTGAAACACTTTTCCCATAAAACCTCAATATAAAATCATCCAGATCAATAAAGTTTTTTTTGACCTCCAAGTCTAAAGTAATATAATGTGGATCAACTATGACCATAAAACTCCAAAATAACTAAAAAATAGCATTAAATTAACTCCAAGTCATACTTTGGATATCAAAAATCTTCTATTTTTACACTAAAAACCGTGTACTGTATAAAGTTCTTTTTCGGACCCGGCTGAGACGAAACAATCTCAAATCACTTAAAAATCGCTGCAGATTGAGACAATACTACATACAAAATAGAAAAAGATCCCTTAAACTCATTTTCGGACTAAAAGATTTGTACTAACCTACTTAAGGTTCGGGTATTTTGTGTTCATCCGTGGCCTTGTGTTCAAACTCATAATCAACATGAACAAAAGCCCGTTCCACCTCCTCCAAACTCTCTATGGCATTCTGAAGGCTCTCTGCAATGTCATGGGCTTCTTTGAGGCGCATATTCTCATCCAGAACAATATGAACTTCGACCAGAAAACGGGTTCCAAAGTGATAAACATAGACCGTGTCTATGTAATCGATGCGGTAATCATGGTCGATGCACACCTAAAAACCGTGATTACTTTTTGAATAACATTACTGGACTACATCATTTTCCACAGTAATGTTTGGCGAGCTTTTAATTTTCAGTGTTTCAATTCTGATGTCGAGTGCAATATAATTTATTAGTGTAATCCTCGTATCGACCCCAACTAATTCATTATGCTTTTATTCATTACGACTTTTAATGGTTCAGAAATGCAGACTTCTCTAGATGATTCGAGATAAGCACCAACTTTATGAATTCATTAATCTCCAATGCCATGGATAAGATTTAAAAAAAGTCAAGTTCACTAGCTCAACTGAGCAAAGAACTAACCCAACCCACAAATCAAGATGCAGCGACGTCTACAAAATTCCGCAATCTCAGTCAAAACAACCGTAAACCCATATATTCTAATCCAAACAGCTCCGTCTACTACAATATTGTCTACCGGAGTGCAGGATTTTGTGCAAGAACTCTAATTTCAAGTCAAAACAGCTCTAAATTTGATCTAATTTTACGATATAATCCGTTTCCGCCCTAAAACCGTGCCATGGGACCAGAAATCGGGAAACGGCTCAGCGACCCGGAAATTCATTAATTCCTTGGTAACTCGTTTATCTCCCGACTTTCCTGAAGCTTCAGCCAACGGTTAAATTTAGCGGGTCGTGCAGATTCCTAATTGAGTGGGGATGGGAGTGGAATAAATGCAAACAAATCATTCGGATGCCAGAAAACAACGTCTACGGTGCATGTCGTTTTTACGAAGTTTCGAAAGTGATGGGGGTGGGAAAAGAAGGTTAGAAGGTACACTACACCTTCATCTATAACCAGGGAGGCATCCACAATAAAAATCTCAATAAATCTTTGCATCCCTCAATATATTTTAAAATTTCGCTACAGATCAAAAGCACCCATCTCCAAAAAAATGCCTATGAAATACGCTATCCTATCTAACCGTTATTTTCCACAGCCCACTTCACGATAACACCCCAAAAACCGAAGAAAATTGAAAAATTTTACCTTGATGACCCTATTGATGAAATCCGGTTCGGCCGTTTTCCCGCTCAACCGTATCAGCTGTTCTCTTCCGGTCATAAACCAAGTCGTTGCAATGTAGATGGCAACAGCGATCGCTCCGATTGGATCCAAGTAGATCCACCACTGTTGGGCGCCAAAAGCGCAAAGAAGAGCGGCCGTGTTCGAAAAGCAATCATTTCGATGATCCATGGCCAGGACCTGACTGGATGGGTCTGATTGTCTAAAAACAAAATGGTAGACACATCTCTCAAACCGCCAACAATACTTCAAAACAAGCAACTTACGTCCGACAGACCAAAAACAATATAAACTTGACGATGATTGTGGCAATCATGATGCCGATGGTCGGTAAGTCAACATGTGGATGCATACTGTTGTTAATCATGGATTCTGTAGACTCTACTATCATTTGAACACTTGCCACAGCCATTACCACACTCACAATCACCTAAACCCATAAAAAAATTATATTTACCATCAGATCTCATGAATTATATCCAAAAAATCGCTTACCAAAGCCACTGGTTCAAGTCTTGTTCGTCCCACTGGATATAAATATGGGTCGTGTTTTCGGATGGCTCTTGATGTTAGCCAAATGACCAATCCGGATGTGATATCGACCAAGGAATCGACCAGAGATGATAGAATGGATAAAGACCCGGAGAGGTAGGAAGCTGTGCCTTTGGCAAGAACCAAGGTGATGTTGACGAGTAGCGTTATGATGGCCAAGTAATGAGCCCGTTTTCTGTTCGATTTGCCCTCATCTTCGGGACTGTTTGCAGCGGGAAGGTCATCTTGGCTGAAATTAGGCAGATTTATATCGAAATCACATCAAAAATTTTAAATTCTCTCCCATTTCTGTCTATAAATCCTTTTCTTACCCTGTAAAAACCTTGGTTCTCACTCCTACCTTCTTGGTCATCTTATTTTAGCCCAAAGATTTATCAAATTCAACTAAAATAAGGTGAGACCATCAAATATCCAGCGAATTGAGCGCAACCGACCCGTCTCACTCTGATCTGGAGCTCGCTGAAGATCAAAAAAGGAAACTTTTCTTGGGGTTATTTTCGCAACGAACTCTCGATTTCTTATTTCCTTCATCAGCTCGATAACAATATAAAAATGAGGTCGTCTAATGGTATAAATAAGGGCTTTTAATCTATCAAAACAAGAGGAACAGGTGATCAACTATCTAAAAAATTTCATAACCGCTTACAATTTCCATCAACTAGTTTTTGATAAGGAGATCTATTAAACCTTCTAAAGTTTTGACAGAAAAAATAACGGAAATTGATGAAATTAGTTGAGGAAACAAAAGAAACAAATGACTAAAGAACGAAAATTGGGAAAAGACCGCTAAAATCGTCTCAGGAAAGGTCAAGAACATCTAATATATAATCAAATTAAAACCACAAATCATAAACATTATTTTAGTTTACCGAGTAATTTCCAGGTCAAACAACTCGCTAAACTCCGTTGCAAAAGTAAGTTTATACTCCCCCACACCGTATACAATAGTTTATTCTACTCTTCTCTAACCTATCTTAGTTCTGTTTTCAAAAAATTTTAATTTTCAAAACGTTTCTTTCAAGAGCCATCTAAATCAATACAAATCGAAAGGGAGGAGTGCTTGCAACCTTCTCCAGGTTTTATACTCCGCAGTGTTCGGAAGAGTCGGCGATTTTCTATTGTACCACAGACCATAAGCCCTGAATGTCGCTGGGAACATTGACTTTTTCGTTGAACAATCGCTCTTTATAGCCATGATTCCCCAAAAATAAAGTCGTATGACAGAAAGCGTTCCGAATTCGGGCTGCCAACGTCAAAGACGCTTGCTGGTGCGGCTTATCATAAGTTCCCTCACCGAATAAACGCATTTCCTGCTACTTTTTAGCCGCTTACCTGCTGCATAAATTTATCCGCGGGACCGGGTGCACCCGACGGGAATTGTTGGTCAGAGAACGACGATGGGTCTCATCGCGACATCCATCTGGCTGTTCACATAAAACAAGCTCATCTTCGTTTAGGAGGTGAGTCTCGGGATTATCATCTGGCTGATCTGAGCATTGGGCTAGACGCTGCTGTTGTTCTTGAGCTTCTGCTGGTTGGAGACGAACGGATCGACGTTGACGATTGTCCTGAACAAAAAAACGGTAAATTTTAGAGCAGAAATACTCCTCGGACTTTAAAAGAGCCGTTACAAATAAAAAAATAACCCCTTGTCACCAAAAAATCGTTTAAATATAAAAATTTCTTCATTAACCTGGTGGATAACATAATTCTCCTCAATTTTTCAATTTCTTCCACACCCAACCTCATGGATAATTCTTCGAAAAACAAAACCAAATCCTCCTCAAAAATACCCACATAAATCTGCCGACTGTCGTTCTCATAATTCTCCAGCAGATCACACTGTTGTTTGTAGAACTTGTTGACCTGATGTTGCTTTCCGAATGGCAGTCGAGGCAGTTTCGGTGAGGCCAAACGACATCCATTTCGGGCTTCTTTCATCGGCCCATCCAAAGGAACGTGCCGTATGCCCTCAGGGCGCTCGCTTTCTTCCTTTTGATCCATTTTGGAATAATTTGATTACAAATCCATTATGATACAAGTCCTGAAAATTAAGCAAAAATTAGCGTCAGCAAGTTCAAGTAAAAAATAAAAAAACCAATAACAATCTCGAATATCAACCATTTAAATTGAAAATGAATCCCAAAAAAGACAAAGCGAGACATAACACAAAGGTGGCAATATTTTAAATTTTTAGGGTAGAATCTTATATTAAACTACATAAAAACGAAGTTGAAGGTATGGAAACTTCTTCAATACGGCGGGTAGAACAAACAGAGAAGATCGGAGAAACGATTCAAAGAAGAATCCGAAATTTACACCCATTTTTAGCATCGAATCCAAACAAATTCATATTCTATCACCATCTCCATGACGCAAGTGAAAAATATGCAAAAATGAAAGTGCAAGCCTTGCGAATGAAGACAACCTATTTTATAAAAGTCAACACGGCCCACTGAAACCATAGTAGACGTGACATCGACCATATCTGCACAAATTGTACTAATTTAGCCATAAATAATAAATAATTCTGATAAATAATTCAAAAAAATCGCCCAAACTTGAACCTTACAAGCAAATAGTACACGCTGAAAGGCCACTAAAAAAATATCCTGACCTCCACCCACCGGCTCCTTGTACCTCTCGCCACTCCGAATTCGAAACGTTTCCAGCTGATAAGACCGCAAATTTGTAGTAACAAGGACCTAATTTCATTTATGAAATTGACAAGACACTGCTCAATGATGATAAAAAATATTAATCCCTAATAAACTGGAGAAGATGATGTGAGTATTACGACTCTCTTCGGTCGGAAAGAACTATTTTTTGGGAAGGCAAAACACCTGGAAGGGGTAAAAAAGGCCTGTGTTATTAAAAATTACATAATCCTTCAAAAGTTGAATATTATCCATGGAAAATTTTTGATCAAAACGGCCACCAAATGCCCACATACCATCTGAATTTTGCGTCATAGTCAATTTTAAGCCTTAAAACGTCAAATTCCGCTCTCAGAATCTTCTAATTCTCAAATTACACCTTATTTTAGATATAAAAAATCACCTTTTAGCCTACAAACTATTTAAACCAACATATCCCCCGATCCCGAATTTCCAAAACAACAGAAAACTGCCCTCTGCTTCCGAAGAAACACTCATAACATTCAAAAGCCTTGAATTTTCCCCGAAAAACAAGCTTCAAAGACAATAAAAACGCCTAAAATAATATCGCTTATTGTGATTCAAAAACAACATCTAAAGACAGGGAATCCCTCATTTCTACGCCATTTAGAATCTATTTAAAGAAAAGAGTCAGTATCAAGCAATAAACCGTGGAATGGGACCTTATCTTAGAGATCAAACAACCTATGCCAAGTTTATGTCAACTGTAAATTTTTGGACAGACATCGTCCAAAACAAAGTCACATTAACGTAGCTGCAAGATACGATCAAACTTTCAAGGGGAGAAGAGGTCACCGTCTGCCAGATCTTTATCTTCTCCATGAACAAGAAGAGGTAAGAATTGGGAAAAGGGAGGTTATCTGTCATTTACAGTCTGCAAAGGGTAAGTCGATCACATTCAGAGCAGGACACCAGTTGTAAAACATTAATTATCAAGTTCTTTTCTTATGTTTTTCGAAGACTCACGCAAAACTTTTTTTTTAAAAGGATCATGGGAAAATATAAATATAGCCCATAGAATTAAGAAAAATAAATTGGAAAAGGAAAGAAACACAACAAATATTCATCACATTCAATAATTTAGCAAGAGAATCCCAAAATAGACATGAGTAATCAAATTTTTAGCTAAAAATGCCATGAATAATGAAAAGAATTGATGTTTTAGGAAGCAAACCCCTCATAAATAAGCCAAGAAACTATAGAATTGTATTCTCAGACACCTGAAGCCATTTCCCACGGTCTCCGAATAAATCCGCTTATTACGTAACACGTCTTCACGCAAACAATGGGCTTACCTAATATAATATAAAGATTGACCACAAGCCCCCCGCAATCCCCTCAGAACTCCCGACAACATCGTCGACGGGGTAGAAAACAAGTTCTTCTCCACGTTCATCCACCTTCAATTATATCACAAACCGAAAAATAATAGGGATTTCCACCGAGCTTGCCCCAGGGATGATAGAAAAATCCGAAAACTCGGGTTCAAGTGCAGAACAACAGGATTTGCCGGAGAAAAAACAGTTTTGTTTCGAATTTCGGAACCCTCCTTTCGGGTAAACCGAAGATCGCAAAGCGTCCAGAAAGAAGGAGAGAAAGAAAAACGGATGGGGGAAATCCCAGCTGTCCCTTTCTCTTCATTATTATATGAGAAAGAGCAGAAAGTGGGGGAGAACTGTTCGAAAAGCACAAAAAACTCGATAATTCCCTGTAAAAAGCTTGAAAACAAAAGCCGAGAAAAGCTTGGCCGAGAAATATGGCCTTGAAACGGAATGCCAAGAAGACAAAGTGAGTGCCAAAAGCCCGCGAAAATCTAATTTTGGAAATTCTGTTTGCGAAAAACTCGAATCCATTTATTTCGTTTATAATCTACACAATAATTACAGTAATCTAGACATTGTTGAGTCCTTTCTGGCTATGAGATCGACTGAGTGAGGTCAGATGAGTGGAAGTTGTGGACTGGCAGCCCAAGGTGGCCACAGTCGCGGCCGAGACTTTGCTCGAGGGCATTGCCCACCATTGGCGTTCATCCGAACCCCACAACGTGAACACCACCACCGGCAGAGCGGCAATGACGGCGGAAATATAAAATACAAGAGCCCATTCGCCTTGAGTCCCATGTTGGACTATCCATTTGGTCAAGATCTTATTCCCAATCGAGAACCAGGCGACGGCGAAGAAGGAGATGCCCGTAATAACACCGGAGAAGGGAGGGGCAAGTTGGAGGAGAGCGGTTTGGACTCCGGGGGTGTGAAGACCTAAAAAGTTTTATTTTTATTTAGTACAATGTAATCATTTGACAAGATCTCTTTTCATTTCAGTTGATACGAAAATTGGAGTCTGATCTTACCTGCAAATGTCATTGCGAAGCATAACGAGATGATGGCGAAGAACGCGGTGTCCTTTCCGAACTGCGGCACGCATAAAATACTCAACGCCAAGCCAGCTGAAGCGATGGCATTGAATGTTTTGCAGATTGTAGTTCTGCTATAGATAGTATTCGCAGCCAGCCATGACGACAGCGAGGAAGATACAGTCTTGCTGACGAACAGGAAAAAGATCGGCAAGGCCGAAAGCATTCCATTTTGTGTGGGGGCGAATTCAAGGACGTCTCTCATGTAATTGGGGAGGAATTGAAGCATGATTACTAATGGATATTCATGACAAATCAAGGAGAAAACTCCCACCCAAAGGGGGACAGAGCGGCTGATGTGATACCAAGGGATTCGGCGGGCTTGTGTCCTTTTTCCAATACTTTCACAGGCAATACTAAAAGAGGTGTGGGTGTTAAACAAGATTTCATATATTAGCTGTCAAGTAAAAGGTCAAATTCACTTACCTTCCTTCAATGAAAACCCTTTCTCTATGGCTGATGCAATACTGTTTGGCGGGCTTATCAGCTCCCATGGGCAACCAGCAGATCAGCACAATCGCGGTAATGAAACTGGACAAATAAAAGATGGCCGGCCATCCTCCTTGGATGTCAGTCCTTGTGCACAGATATCCCGCCGTTGGGAGAATAAAAAGTGTTCCAATCTGTCTTCCACCGGTGATAATTCCAATCGCGGCAGCTCTCTCAGTCCTTGGAAACCATCGTGTGATCAGCGAGTTAACGGCCGGCGACATACAGGCATCCGAAGCGCCGATGGCAATCCTGGCCACAACCGCGTACCAAAACGAGTTGTGGGCCAACATAGGCAGGGTCAGATTGCCGACTCCGCAAAGTAAAAGCGACGCCAACACCATCCATTTTCCATTAATGCGGTCGGCATAAAGTCCGGTCAGCAGCATCAGCAAGGAGCCGGCATTTTGTGCAGCCAGCACCAGGCCCTCTTGATCCGATTCCCAATCCAAATCCCCCGAGTAATTTCGAAGAGGACACTTGATCATACAAATCAGCGCTACCGCCATGTTCGAGGTCGAAATCGACATTGTAATATAGCAGCAACATAACAAGACGGCGATCAGAAATCGCATTGAAGGAAACAGTCGGGATTGCGGTAGATCGTCGTCATCATGCTCCTCGGAGTTGTTTCTAACGTTCATCCACGGGTACACACAGCCATCGCCGTTTTCTTTCATTGAGGGATTCAGGCCCGTTCGGAAGATTTGAGCGGGGTGGTAGTCACTGGCAGATCGAAAATACGACGTATGTTGGCCTGGTGGATGGAGAACTGCCGAAGCGGTTTTGCGTTGAAGTTTTGGGATAAACTCCTCTTCCGGCGACACTAAAGATTGCTTGTCATCCCGAGTCGAAGTCGACAGTTTCTCTCGGACCTCGTCCAATATTGTACTGGCATCATGCATGAAGGAAATCTGTGGCTCTGAAGCTTTTGGGGGGAAATCTTCCCTTTTTACACTTAATGTCGCTGGCTGGTCAGTTGAGGAATCGCTATTGCTTCGAGATGAAAGCGATTCTTTCACCGCCTCGAGTCCAAACGCATCACTTTGGGACCGTGGGGCCAAGGCTGGCGGTGATAAAAATTGATCGTTAAGGGCTTTGACATCCAAGGAGGTTCTCCTATTTGCGATGGATTTAGCGAATTGCGAAGAGTGTCGGCGATTTCTCAAGGGCTGAGGCTGCAGTTGGTCGGAGATCTCATCAAAATGTTCGGAGGAAACGGAAGGGCCAATGGAACAGTCAGGGAAATCAAAATGGCCCTGAGTTGTGGGAGTTATTGGCTCTGGCCTTGGAGCCATCACTTAAAAGCTTTGAAAATTCTGTAAAAATGGGAATTAGAGGTGATGACTAAAACTACAGTAAGCAAATACGCGACACGGAGAGTTAACAGTTGGTTTTGGGGATCCGAATCAGCCCATTTCCAAACAATTTCCCCCCAAAAAACAGTTGCAAATTAACCCTCCGTTCATGTGAAAGAAACACTCATTAACGAACCCCAGAAGCCCCGACGCCAGCGAAGTGAAACGTGCCGGAAGCCGGGTTGCTGAGAAGGCGAAACGGACAGGTACTGAACCGTTTTCCGGTGAGAAGCGAAGGAAATATATGATCATCGTCCGAATGACCGAACCCCTAAAAGACGTTTTTTGCGCACTTCCGATGTTAGTTTTTTGCCCCAAAGAAAGAAAAGCTGACTGAACCCATCTTCCGGAAATTAACCCAAGTATTGTTTGTTTCAAAGAGAAAGGAAAGATTTGTAACGGATGATGCAAAGGTTATGGGATCGGAAGTTGTATACGACAAATGACCGTGTAGCGCGAAAGAAGGTGGGCGGTGACAGGGATACGATGATCAGGAAGCTCGAAATGACAATTTAGGAACGCATTATAGATCAAAAAACTATCTTGATGACAAAAAAGTTTGTGTTCTTGAAAGGTTAAGTTGCAAGGGAGGCAGGAGCAGTAACGACAATTTATTGTGAAAAATGGCACGAACTAAAGTTCTGCTTGTCTACGCGCGATTTATAGCTTATATTTGGTCATGTGACCATTAAAATTTTTAGGCTAGAGGTTGCATTTTTTTGCGATAAAAATCTGTTACAACCTTTGTAATTTGAAGGTCAAAATGTTGGAATTCTACAAATCTTGAAGTAAATTTCACGTTTACGCCCATAGTAATTAGTATTTCGTAGAATATACGTAATAAGATAAATACATCCAATAAGACGTGGCTGCATTCAAGGAAGTATAATTGCAAAACCTCCTTCCTGATTTTTTGCCAAAATATGGTTTTATAATAGCGATAAAGTGAGAAGGTTTCGAAACCAAACAATAAATTACAATTTGATGTGTAAAAGTCGTAGAATCACGCACAAGTCATCCAAAAATATCAAACGCAATCTGTCCTTCAAAAAAGTTACAAAAAAAATCATCCAGATCGCTAGCTTCGACTGCACTTTTATCAGCCAAATCCGAGAGAAATAATGATTACTTTTCTCTTTTTTCCGCTGTAAACCGTTCAAAAGCTCTCCGGTCATTAGTAAAGAAGGACTCCGATAGATAAGGTCCTTGCACATTACAATTAAAACTGTTACATCGCGCGGTTCAAAAACATTATGAATGGGGGTTTGGTGGGATGTGCGAAGGCCGTCGGAATTATATTTTCGGCGCCATCAAGACCGATAAAAAACCAATTAAACTGTTTCAAGTACCGGTTCAATTGTAACTGATTGTAATTCTCGTAAAATTTTGACGGATTTACTTGCACGTTGTAAGGAAGCAGCTTTTTCAGAGAGAAGGGGCTCAAGGACAATCTATTGTAATCGGCTGGACGGATGGGTTACTGTGGGTGTCTATGATGACAAATAAAAAAGTGAATGGTTCAAACAGAAAGTTCAAGTCATCGGTCATCAGAATTTTGAATCTTCATTAAAGAAGTCTTCAACGTGGACCCAACTTGTTTTAGAAACAAAGAATTAAATACTAAAAGCCGCATGAATTTACTAGTCCTTCCGGAAAGTCGCCGGACGGAAATCGGCGACATGCACTCTGCGAAATCGAAAGTTCACTTTGCACTGTGCAATTTTTGGCTTTTTGCACTGTGCAATAAGCTTTTTCGAGCTGTCGCTCGCACCCTGAGTTTTTTCTCACAGTGCATGCCGCCGATTTCCGTCCGGCGACTTTCCGGAAGGACTAGTATACAAAAGAGATTTTCGAAGGCGACATGTCTTGCGCATTTTTGGATTTCATGTCAAAAATGATGATCCTGTATTTGAGATCCTTGGCAAAAGGTACTTTATTAATAGTGTCGCAAAATATTTTCAACAAACAATATGAATTTTGAAAGCCAGTGTCTCCTCATTTCGTATGCTATTTCATCTCATAAAGAAGACCGCTAACATAAGTATAGGGAATCCTATGAGTACCGCAAGTTTCATCTTTCAGAGGATGCTTCTGCACGTTCAGAAGCCACATGCAAACTTTTGGAAGACTCTAGACTTTGATTTAGCCTACTTACTATTGCAATCAAGTTTCTTTCTGTAAACTATCCTCTCCGTGTTCTAGTTTCTCAATTGCATGCCCATTTATTGTAAATTTTAACGCCTGATGTCTGCCCCAAGTAAACTTCAACCTTTCCCTCTGGCTTTATAAAAAACAATCGCCTTTCACGTCCACGTAGCCCAGTTGTAATAATTTTGCGCCAAAAGATTGATGTTAATTGAAAACAATAACCTGCCGGAAGCAGTTTTCTTGTTTTTTTTATTTAAAAGATATCATATTACAGTTACATGGATCATAAAAACTTTTGACGTAAGTTTTGCACTTCCTTTGACTGTTTAAAGAATCAAAGAAGTTTTAAAAATGATCCCATTAACCGCCCGGAAGCCTCATTAAACCCCATACAACTAAAATTAAGAAAAAAAGATGATCAACAGTACCTCCAGAAGATCATGTTCATCTATCACCACTCTCGTAACCTCTTTTCAATTATTTTTTATTGAAACCCCGAACAAACCGCTCATTTATCTTGTGGAAGAAAGGTTACTTCTTAGGTTACTTTCATCTTGCTTTTCCACAAAAAAACACTCGAAACAGAAACCGCGAATCAATCAAAAGGTCGGTTACTGCGCGATTGTACAATCTTACAGCAAACTCTTGTAATGTTGTAAATGTAAACAATACGAAGAGTGGCGATGGAAATGGGGTGATAATTCCGAGAGATGACTTTTTAAAATCAGGGAAGATTAATATGTTCGGGTTAGTTGGAACGGATTGCATCATAAGGAAATGGCTTCAAAAGACAATGGGAATGGAGTGGGAGGGAGGGTCATACGAAGGGTATGTCGAGCCAAAATTCCAAAAAATTTTGGAGATATTATTGCAACTTGCAATGCTACATATTCCGCAAAAATCTCGTTCCATTAAGGAGACGTTCCAAAACAGTGTGGCACAAGGCTATATGCAAATTTAGATTAAAATCTTTTAGGACACCTGAACCTTGCGGTTTGCAGATATCACCGACATTATGGATTTAAAGATCACCCAAAACTTGTCACCCTTTTTTGGGCCACAGAACTGAGCCTCTCAGGTTTCCCTAAAAGAAGCAAAACGTAACACATTGACGTAAAAAAGTACTGACAATGAGCTATCATCATTACTGCTACTCCACGTGAGCTTAGTACAAGAAGTGTCTAATAAATTAACTGTAAGGTCGTTTTTTATCGTAAAAGGAAAACAATTCCATCCAGAAATTGAGAAGGGTCCGCAAAGTTCATTAAAAACAGGGAGAAAAAATAATAATCTTTTAATCTTAAAAAATTATTGTCACAGATTTTAAAAAAAATATTTTTTTTCGAAAATTCAAATTGAATGACCGAAATGAAAAAACTTGAAAATTCAAATTTACACTTTCAAGTTTTCCTCAAGATTTTTTACACTTTCGTTCGCTCAAATCGCAAGATGGTCGGTTGTAAGTTCTCGACAGCCCTGTTGCTCTTCATTCCAATTGTTTCGGCCGGCCTCATTTTCAATACGGAGAGACTCAAAAAAGAGAGAAGTTGCAGTCCAAATTTGAATGTTCGATTATTTGGGGAACTAAAGTAAGTTGACTTCGCATGAGTCATAATCTTGGACATGTATAACTTTAGTCCAGAATTTGACTTACAATGCGAAAAGAATGAGATGGTAATTCAGTTCACGAAAACGGCCAATCTGGAGGTCAAATTGACTCCACCGTTGTGCAAAGCGAGGTGAGATTTACTTTGCCATTGATATAATAGGATAGTAGAGAATCAAACATTATGCTGATTTTTCAGTCCTCCAAGATCCCTCGGATTCAACGTTGAAGGCTGTGAGTGGTTTAAAGCTGAGTACAATCCAAAAGATTATCAATGGAACATTCAAGTTGGACACGTTGTTAGTAAGTGTTTTTCCAGTCACGCAAAACGGGGGTCGGAGAGTCCGGAAGTAAAAATTACAGAAATTAACTTTTATCGAGGACACACTAGGCTGCAGACCTTCAAATCTACATTTATATTTTTCGGATCCACTACGTATTTTACTTTCAGAAACCCTTGACTCAATTGAATTGAACGTTTTCATCGATGGAAACTTCGTAGTATTAAATTCTCGTCTCTTCGAATCCAATAGCTGTTTCTTGAGAACTTTCCATGCCGATGAAAGATCAAGCCTCGAAATCTTAACCCCGCCAGCTCCCGGAGACGTCGATTGCCCATTCAAGCTTAAATTTGTAAGTTTTTCTCTATAAAAAAACTTTCTTTTGCTTTTCAAACATCAAATCTTGCCCTTCAGAAAAGATCGATTAATATTGCCCCATTGGCCGTCACTCAACAAAACGTCGAAGTTGTCTATGGAATTTACCTCCTAATTGTGGTCATCGTCTATTTGTAAGTTATTTTTGCAATTGGATTTACGTAACATTGCATGCCACATAATTACAGCCTTGTTTCAGTATGTTCGCATTCGTCCTTCTGGCCTCCCTGTCTACTTTCGTCTATCGCCGTCCTGAATATTAATGGGATATTATGATTTATGATGGCAGGATGTGTGTGTTGGTGTAGAAATAAATTTTAATCCGAAAGGAAACCCTATTTTGGCCTGATATATTATACATGAAGATTGCTTTGTTTTTGTCGGTTTTTGATGACTTTAAAGTTGTAAGTGACGGATAACGTTTGAAAATGACGCTGTTAAAATTAAACTTCAGCAAAATCAAAACAGTTTGCTTAATTTTTAACGATTTTTTGTTCGAAAAACTCGGAAAATTGTACAAATTTGATTTTTTTTACAATTTTTTTTGCACTTTTAAATAACCTTAATTTTAAAGAGAAACTGTTGACGGCTCGTATTTTACCCATATTTTCTTCAATTGTTATTGCAATAACAGCCTCCAAATGCAATCTTCCCGCTCCAAATCCCTCAATTCTCCTTAAAAACCTCAAAACATTGTCGAGAAATGAGGGTCTTTTGCCCAGTGTGCACTTTTCTTGTTTAGATTTCACGTCTTTTCGCTCCGCTCTCGAACTATTGATCTGCCCGCACACTATTTCGCCGGTGCTCTGACCTCGGGTTTTGGGGTGGGAAAAGTGGAGGAAAAGCCTTTTTCGTCTTCTATTTCCCACTTTTTTCGCTTTTCGGATAAAAAAATGCGAAAAATTTAATTGACAACGAAATTGGCATCTTTTTTGAACATCGTACTGCCCTTCCTTGTATTATAAACGTAAAATCCGTGGAGATTTTAACGCATTCGTCTATCGGATTTATTGTCGGCCGTTTTTTCAGGATGCTAACCAAGACATGGACGGATAAAGAGCGGGAAGTATTGATCGACGAGGTCCACAAAAGGCCCGAACTTTACAATAATGCCCATCCCGAGTTCAAGAACAAAGAGCGCCGAGCTCAGGCCTTTGATGATATCGCCCATCTTATTGCGTCCGTCTCCGAGAATCCGGAGCAATCAGTTGATGGTGGGTTACTGTAACATTTGAGTGATTATATCTTTAGGTCGGACCGTATCCGCGCAATGGAAGATCCTCAAGGATTCGTTTAATCGGACAAGGAAAGCCGCAGCCAACTCCAAAACGTACAATGTGCCGGTTTGGCGTTTTTATAGACAGATGGAGTTCCTAGTGCCTTATACGACAAGATACGACCATTTTACATCCAGTCCAACACCAGCACCGCCAGTGAATTCGCTGCCAAATTCGAGTTCCACTCATTACAGCGATACCTCCGGTGATTTGGACGATGACGACGTGGATGATGTCAGGTCGAAGAGTAGTAGTAACCATGATGATCATTTCGTATTACAATCACCCGAGCAAAAGGTGGTATTGAATAGCGGGCAAAGCAGTTCCCATGGGGATGAGAGACACATTGAAGTTCACACTCCAAACGGCTCTCACGAAGTTCACGGCCCTCATTTCTTGGCCGCAAGCTCTTCTTTCCATTACAAAGACCGGTTCAATCATGATCCAGAAGACTTCTCCTTGTCCTCAATCACTCCCACCACTCACATTTCGAATCATATTCTCCTCTCCACCATCGATCAGCCCCGGAAACGCCCTCATCAAGAAATCTGCATCCCAACCACAGCCTTGGTCAGCCATGGATCAGCGTCCGCGTCCTCGACCAACTCTTCCTCAGCCTCAGTGCCTTTTACGACCACCGGAAACCTCGAGGATTACGTGGTGGATGTGGTAAAACGACGGGTTTTCGACTCCAGGGAAGACGACTTTGACCTCTTTGGCCGCTTGGTGGCGTCGGCCGTGCGGGAAGTTGCGCATTTTGATCAGAAAATGTTTTTGGAAATGAGGAGAGAGATCAACGAGGTGGTCTACAAGTTCGAGAAGAAGAGATTTGGCTGAGAGAGCGCCGCAAAACCCCTACTCGCCTTTTCCCATCCTCAACCCGCTAGCCTCCGTTTGTGATCCGTATTTTAGCTGTTTTAATATTCCCTCGCCCACTGATAACCTCTTAAGTCGTAGAATCTCCAGATTTCCCACAAGGATTGCACTGCCCTGGAGGCACCTGTAGTCCCAAACACTTTTCGTTTTCGTCGACGTCTTGTAAGCCCGGTCTAAGCATTTCGATGTCAGCTTGCATTATATTCTTGCTTCTGTTGATAATATTGGACAAGAATTCAGAGCTTTTGATAATAATTTCGTCCAATAGGTTCACTTTGCGATGAATTACACTACTTTAAAAATTATCTATTCAACAAAGAAGGATACGATAACGTGATAATGATAATAAAGTTTTAATTGATGATTCAGATTTGCAAAGATTTCAAGTGACAATCTGTTCTCTGGAGGGGAAACAGAGCCGTTTTAGAGGAAAGAACGACGTCTTCAGATCACCGAGATCCCACTAAAAACTTGTTTTTGTAGTTTTGACCCTAGATCCGGATCCTTTCGCCAGAATCCCGCCCTTCAGTCATCATGACCTCACATTCGCCACACCAATCGTTTTTCGTTCGCCCAGTCGTGCCGTGAAATCACTTAACCTTACGCAATCAAGGTGCCGCCTCGAAGTCACGCTGCGAAGTCTTCTTCCAAACCATCTTCAAGACCGAGATGGAGAATCAATTCCCTTGCACAAAAGGCGAATTAAAAGAAAAGAAAGGCACGGGGTCATCCCGTTCGATGAAATTTTATTTCTCCGCCATCTCTCCTTCCCCAAATCCGCGCGGTAGTTTTTTCGCCGCCTTTTTGATTTCGGTTTCTCCATTTTTGGATGCCAAAACTTTGAGCTTTATTCAAACTTGTGAAGCTTGAGCTCTCAGTCAGGAAGCTAAAGTCTTTTTCAGACCGTTAGCAATGATATCATTTTTTCGATGGGTTGATCTTTGCCGTAACGAACAACCCATTATTTCTTGCGCGAAAAAACTTTTCCAGTTTGACCTACATCTAGAAAATGAAAAAAAAGTCAGACGGAGCGGTTTTTCTGTAGGCACCGCGGAGTCGTACCATAATTGGGTGGCTTGCTAGCTGAAGTTTTGGTTTCTAGTTTATATTATAGAATAAGCTTTGCTTATTTTTTATACTATAGCTTCTCAACGTTTATCCCATTTTAACAATCATCATCTAATCTCAATATTCTCAGAGATGACGGAGGATCCCGGTCCTCCAGCCGTTTCTCGGCAGCGATCAAACAACTCCGAGCATCTCTATCACAATCAAATTCTGCATGCTCCAATCCACGAACCAAAGCATGCCGCTGACATTAAGGCTGATGATCTTGGGGAGAAACTAAAAAAATGGACAGCCCATGCTTTCGAAGAGTACGGAGAATTTGTTGGCCGCCATCCTGGCTATATTTTGACCGCAACTATCTTATTTACTATTGCAACTTTACCGGGATTTGCGTTTTTGAGGATTAATTTGGATCTTTACAAATTGTTTGTCCCTTTGGACGCTCCGGTTCGACGAGAATTTGAAGGATCTCAGGTAGGTTCTATTAACCTTGTTTCTTACTATTCCAAAAGTTACAAAAGAAAGGAAATACCTTCAGATTTTTAATGCTATGCCCGCTGGAAACTTGGATTTCATCCCGCCACCGAAGAATATATCAACAAGGTCAATTGAATTCGACGAATTACAAGTTTGGAATGACCCACAAAATCCGGCAGTAATTAGGACTGGCAGAGCTACGAATCCGAAGAAAAAGAATCAAAAGAAGAAGTGTAAGGACCTACCGGATCTTTACCAATAAATTAATAACTACAACAACCACCGAAAGATTCAAAATCACTCTACTTTTTCTACTTTCAGCTGTCGATGCGCCTATGCACAATGACATTCTCCGGTTCTACGTGGTCCATAAGAACTACGATAACCTATTGGAAAGCGACATCTTGGGAAGACTTTACGACTATACCAATCAGATGATGACGGTTCGAATGCAATATGAAGGAAGGGAATGGGGTTTGGAAGACTTTTGCAAAAAAGCTCCAACTGAACCAGTAAGTCAACAATTGTCTATTTCACGCCGCTAATTAAACAGCAAAGCTCTATAACAGCAACCTTTTTAGAAATGCAACAACCATTTGAATGTATGGCTAAAACACGCCGAGAATCTTTTCAAAAGCGAAGGATCAAGGTTTAACCCTAATCTTCAGTTGTCTTATCCAGTTATGTATCTGTTCAACCGTCCCAAGGATATTGGAAATGTAAGTTCCCAAATCTTGGACACTGTAACCATTTATTCCAGATTATCTATGGAGTCAACGTAACCGGGCTGAAACATGAGATTGTTGGAGCCAGAGTGCTCACAATCCATTGGTTTGTGATGTTCCCAATTATTGGAAATAGCAAAAGCGCATACTTTGCTTATCGCGAAAAGTTGAATGAGTTCTGGGAGACCAAAACCGCAGAGTCAGATATCAAATTCATCCCTCACAAGTGAGTAAAAAAGCCCTCAAGTCAGGGCTTAATATCGACAACACGACTACTGATAACTTTAGTGACCGCGCTATGGACGACGAGCTCATGTTAATCATCCAAACAGCCGTTCCCTTTGCCGTTCCCGCCACCTTACAATTGATGGTCTTCGTCTATCTGACCAATCTGTCCAAAGATATTCGAAAGTAAGCCCGGTGATCAAATTATGATACGATTGCAAAACCTTCGAGTCTAGAATACTTTCTGACACACTCCATTTCCAGATCAAAACCTATGGAAGCCTTCTTCGGCGTAATTTGTGTTGTCCTCGGCCTAATCACAACATTCGGATTGACTTTTTACTTCGGACTCCCCTTTAATCCCATCTCCAGCACAATGCCTTTCCTTATTTTGGCTGTCGGTAAGCCGTTTCTCTATTTTACTTATCAAATCAGCATTTCGCCATTTACCGACCTTATTTTAGGTGTTGACGACGCATTTTTGATGCTGGGAGCCTGGCGAATGACGGATCCTAGGCTCTCGGTCGAAAAACGAATGGGAATCACAATGGGAGATGCTGGTGCTTCAATCACTGTAACTTCCCTCACCAATTTCGGTTGTTTCGGTAAGAATTGTTAGATAATAGCAAACTAAATCTTCCAGCTCTCGGCTACTTCCTGTCCCCAACCCCAGCTGTCGCAGATTTCTGCACCTTGACTGCTGTGGGTGTAATTTTGGACTACATCTATCAGATCACATTCTTCGCCGCAATCATGGTTTACGGAGGAATGAGAGAAGATCAAGGCGGAATTAAGAGCTACTTCAACATGAAAGACTTCAAGGCTAATCTCAGAATGCTCAGAAACAAGATATGTTGTTGTTGTCGAAGTGAAGTAGTCCCGGTGGAAGAACCTGCCAATCAAAGTAAGGCTAAACAGATAAGATAAACAAAGGTCCACAATTGGACAATATAACCTAAAGTCTGCTCTAAAATACGAAGCAGAAGTTAGACACCATTCATTTCGCGAAAACTTTATCCGAATTAGGTCAAAAGTTGTAGAAAAATCAAGAATTTATTAATGTTGCACAATGCCAAAATTCAGGATTTCGTAGTGAGAAAAAAACAGGCAGGCGAAAATTCCAAAATTTAAATCGGAAATGATCTTCATAGGATCTCGGACACCTTGTGGCATCACTATAAAACATATTATCCTCAACTTGACAATTTCAGTGCCCCGTCAGAACTCCGAAGAGATCGAAACTCTATTCCATGAGCCCACGATTATGCACCGTTTGTTCCGCGATTACTATGCGCCATTTATTCTCAGGCCATGGGTAAAGGCGATCAGTTGGCTCTTCTTCTTGATCTACATCTGCATTAGTTTCTACGGTTGTGCCAACATGAAGGTCGACATCAGTCCCAAGAAGTATATCCGAGATAATTCTCCCATTCAAACTTTTGTTCACTTGGCTGGTAAGTATAATCGGAGTAGAATTTAACGTGACCTATGACTTTCAGACAAGTACATTTGGGCTGACAATGTGATGCCGCATATCCATATTATGAAGCCTCCAGATTTCCGAAATGATTATGACAGGAATCGATTAAACGAGCTGGTGTTCCGTTTGGAGAATACGGATTACTCGATTGGCAGAGTCTCGACCAACTTTTGGCTTTGGGAATATCAAAACTTCCTCAACGATTTTCCCGAAGTTGTTTATTCACGGGATTTCTACAAGAGAAAGTATTTGAAACAATTCTTCGGTCAATTCGATTATATTCAATTCCGACAGATGGTTAAAATTAATGACTCCGTCCCTGATGGAGAACCTTGCATCTCCGCATTTACTTTCCAGACCTCCTTCTATGGGTGGGTACTTTAATTGGGCTTTTTTTTTACTTACGAGGGAATGGTCTGAACTTCCCCCAGCGTTTGGGAAAATGACTAGTACAGGTGGATAGAGCATGTCAACTTTGGTAAAAAAGAGCCCTTTTCTAGCTGCGGAATAAGCTCGGCCGACGAGAAAAATCGACCGAAAGTTCCACAAAAATTTCCTCTTTCTCTTCCCTCGGAAAAGAAGAGCGCTGTCCAATGGTTCGGTTAGCCGAGTGGATAAAACATCTTGCTCATCAAAGCCTTATCACGGTCCTCCACGAGACCCCGGAACCGAACCAACCCCCAAAAGAATACCGAGCGGATGTTTTTTTATCCACTCGGCTAACCGAACCATTGGACACCGCTCTTCTTTTCCGAGGGAAGAGAAAGAGGAAATTTTCGTGGAACTTTCGGTCGATTTTTCTCGTCGGCCGGGCTTATTCCGCAGCTGGAAAATGGCTCTTTTTACCAAAGTTGACATGCTCTATCCACCTGTACTAGTCATTTTCCCAAACGCTGGGGGAAGTTCAGACCATTCCCTCGTTACATATTTTTCGAAATTTGCAAAAAAATTGTTTAGTCTCGACTCCTGGGACAAGCGACAAGCCGAGCTTTTCCATTGGCGCCGAATCATTGATGACTATCCAGAATACGATGGATTCTTGGCTAATATCTTCTCTCCATTCTTGATTGATCAACGTCGAACAATTGCGCCATCTTCCATGCAGTCGGTGGGGTCTGCCATTGCTGTTATGGCACTCATCTCGATGTTCTTCTTGCCGGATAAGGTGAGATCTTGATTCAAATCGGCTTGTTAGACCATTTTTTGTGATACAGTTAGCTCAAATTTGTTCTTTACAACTCAACATGTATGAATTTACATTGTTTTCCAGCTCTCCGTATTCATCATGTCCTTTTCGCTTATCTCGATTTCAACGGGCGTCTGCGGCTTCTTATGTCTCTGGGGATCGGACCTGGACTCGGTCTCCATGGGTTGCATTATCATGGCTATTGGGCTGGCCGTCGACTTCTCCATCCACATCTGCTACCGTTACCATCTTTCGGAGGAGCCTACGGCCGATGGAAAGGTCATCGATACCCTCTCCATTGTGGGCTACCCTGTTCTTCAAGCTGGCTCTTCTACGCTCTGGGCGATGACGACGCTCCCATGGATCCCGGCTTATCTTGTTCGAGTATTCTTCCAGACTGTGGTCTTGGTGAATATCTTTGGGTTGTTGCATGCCCTTTTATGGCTGCCTCAGTTCATTTCGGCTATTGATCCCATTGCCAGAATCCCCAGAAGACATGCTCACAGTGATTAAGAGGGAAGGCACGTCAGAGAAGGCTCAAAAACAATCGAAAAGAAGAATCAAAATAAAATTTTATATATTATTTGACGTGCATGGTAATAACTGTTTCCGTTATAGACTGCCATAAACTCGTATAATAAATATATTTATTTGCTCTATAAATATCCGATTTCCCGAAGGCATCTAATTACCTTCTTTTCTTCCTCCTCCTCCTTCAGAGAGTATAATCATTTACTTTTTACTTACTATGTAACGTGACGAGCCTGCCTACGCGTGCCCGTATTGGCAAAGCGTAATGAATTGGGAGTGCATTCGGAGCTCATTCTAATTCAAAAATTATTATTTAAAATTTGCGGAATGTTGCATTTTTTGTTTTTGGTGTATTTTTACCTAGTTTGAGAAGGAAATGCCCCAAGGGTAATTCTAAGATTTACTTGGAATTTGTCTTCACTGTTATTTTTAGGCCAATTTTTAAATCCTCAAAATCTTAATTCTCCTTTGTAAAGGCGGCCATGGGCCTCAAAAATCTTTGCCGATAGCACGCGACGCGCGGAGAGAGACCAGATCTGGCTAGAGAATAAATACAGTTGTTGACCATGTCTGTAAGCCCGAGGAAAAAATTGTTTTTTTTTGTGAGTACGATACTGTCTTCGGAAAAAATAGACTTAAAACTTTTTATGCCAAAACAAGGGTCGAAATAAACTCATCTGTAAATCTCATCATTTCTGCATGAATCCCGTAAGAATCGATGAACAAATTTTGGCTTGGCTTGTACAAAGTTAGTTTCATCAAAACCTCTGCATCACACTTGATTATTTCCCCTTGGGCTGTTTTCGTCTTCCTAAGTACCCTTTGCCCCAATTTATGCCCCAATTTTCCCCTAGGGCCAAGACCAATAAAACCTGGGCTCCTTGCACAATTATTTAGTTAATGTGGACATCATCAATGTCGTTAAGTTTTATGTTGTTCTGGAAATGTTTATCCGACAAAGAAAGTTAAAAAAAAAAAGATTTCCTCATGTCTGGCCATAAAATTGGAATAACAAAAGAACGTGGTAGGATATAGTACTAGGCGTGGCCCACGCAAAAGTCACACGCTATTCGTGAAGAGAACGGGCTCACCGTGTTCTTTTTTGGGTTCGGAAATCCGAGAGCGTTGGGTTAGGAATTCTTGCGTTGAAACCGACAGAATTTTAAGTCGGAGGTTTCGCATTAACACCTTCATTTTCGAAGAACCCTGGGACATTTTCATGCGGTAAACGTGTTCTAAGTGCGACGGCCAGGTTTTATCGAATTTGGTTCACGCAATGTGCCTAAGCCACATATTAATTCCCGGAATTTCTAGCCCATGCTTTGTAGGGTATGATATTCAATAATCTTTGCCAACAAGAGAATTTGTGAAATCTGGAGAGTGATCAGAGAAAAAAACTCTTTTTCCCATATCTTTTCTAATGTTGATAAACAAGTTTTATTGTGTGAGAAGGTTGCTTCCTACAGTAGGAATGAGGCTGAAGATTTTAAAGCTAAAGCAGTTGCAAAAAAATCCCAAAATTTTTCCGATTTCCAGATAAAAAATCTTGGTTATTTCTGTAAGGCGCGATGTAGGAATCTTGAATCGGTTTTGGAAAAATTTAATCTAGATTTTGGTCACGTTCCATTAAATTTTGAGCGTCTTACTTTGGCCACTTCGCTGTAAACTTATTCTTTTTTTTACTGGTCTGGCAATTCCGACCTCTCTGACCTTCGACTTTTCCTCTTCTTTGTAGCTCCAGAGGATCCACTCTGCAAATCCCGCCAACTTCCGTTTCCCATTCAAAGGCATGGGATCCGAAGCCCTAAACAATGTGAAACTTATTCCGTTTTTGTTTCCCCCACGCCGTACTTTTCCAATAAATGACGCGTTCTGACGACTTGTTGTCATCCTTTTTCCGCTTCCGTCAAAAAACAAAAAAAAATCTTGGATTCCATAAAGTAGTGGGTTCTGGGACCGCCGGAGTCTGGGTTCCCGTGCCGGATGACGCGAGGTTTCCGATTTTGAAGGTTGTTTTGAGGTGAGGCTTCGTGGTTGGCATGGTAAGGGGAGCTGGGCGATCTTGGGAATGTTGTTTATAACTTATGGGATTAAAGTATAAGGTTTTGCGCGCAACATCCCAAGTTCCGCTACTTTATTCTCAAACAAATTCTTTTTTTACTGTCCTCGTCATAACTACGTCAATTCTAACGTCTTCCTCTCCAGCAAATCGAATGTTCCTCGAACTTTTCGCTCAAAAGCGTGCCCTCCAATTCAATTCCTCTTCTTCAGTCTATGCCCAACTTTTTTTACTATTTATTTATGATACGATAAATAAAACCGAGGTGATAAATTTGAAAAAATTGACTGGGCCCTAAGGTGTTCGCAGACGTCATGAGCCATTTTTATCGGCATCCCATGCTTTCTGTTTGATCGCTGCCCGCAATTTAATTGGCCGAAGGAACGGCGAGTTTTCAGCGTGAACGTGAGAACGGCGGAGGATCTTTGATTGGGTGTATTGACGCTTTGAAGTGAAGTGGACGGGTTGAAAAGATTAAGCTGAAATTTTGACAAAATTCGGGACAAATTTATATTAGAATTTTTGAAGAAATTTGTAAGGGTTGAAGATTGCAATATGCATAAATCAAAGAGTGATGACGCTTTGGGGACAAAAAATTAAAAAAGTTAAAATTTCCTCTTCAAAATGCCATTATACAAATTGCATTTTGCGGTTAAAAAAATTTTCTGGCTATATTTACTTTTTATAAGGTCACCCTCAAAATAGAAATTTACAAAAACTGATGACGTTATTGTGCTTTGCTTTACTTGGAGTCTCTTCTCCGGCCACGGTTAAATTGAGCTTATTATTTAAATATTTGTCGGTTTCTGATAAGTACGTAGTATTGTGAAAATGTTGAGTCCGACAATCTTTGCTATTTTCATCCAGTGGTGTCTTCTTTCAAGGGTTGTATTTAATGGCCGTTCTAATAGCTCCCAAAATCCAATAATTTTTTGGAATTTTTGGTGGCTTGTAAAAAGGATACCCTTAGGCAGAGATTATTGCCGTAAAATTTTTTAAAGTTGGGCTAAAAAATTTAGCGCTAAACTTTTAACGTTCCCCCAAGCTCTGACTAACTCTAAGACAACAACTTCCGAGAACGTGGAAGGTTCCGTGTTTTGCCCCCGGCTCCCCGTTCGGTTTCCCCTCAAGAAATCCGATGGTCAAATACACGGAGGAGCATGTAGATGGGTCGGTTGATTGGAGACATTTGATGCACAACTTTTTTTACGCCTCGAGCTTTTTGACTTTTTTGTTTGTGCAAGACCTGGGGCCAAGATGTTCGAGGCAAAAATCAGGGGACTTTCCGAACAGACAACTCGGAAGGGGAAGAGCGCGAAGTATCAGTGGCTCCCGTGTTCTACCAAAGTTTACATTTTCCAAATTTTGGGGTTAACGTCACAGAAAGAGACGTTAAGATTACCAGAGGGTTGTTTAGGATTATACAAAAATTTGATTATAGTTTGGCATGAAATTAAACTTTGTATTGAAGACAACGCCCGGCAAATAAGTCATCTTTTTTGTCCCAAAATCAGAGTTTCTACCGTAGGAACGGCATTTGAGCCGTTGAGCCCTATTTTGAATTACTTTTTTTACTTTTTTTCAGTCTTGTTTGCTCTGCCCTGCACAATTCTCATGTTACGATGATTCTTGATATACAAATTTTTTTCCTCGGCCCGGACCCGCTTTGCTGACGTCATCAGCTCACGCTGATTGAACAGCTCTTTTTTAACCCTTCTAAAAATTTGTAAGGACAATTAATTCGTGTAATTACAGAAAAAAAATTTTTGCTTTGTAACAGCCTTTTATTTATCTTTTCAGCTATTGTTTTCCCTCGGATTATGGTTGTATAAACACGCTCAATCACCGCAAACACCCACAGAATGACCCCCAACAAGGCCAATATGATGAATGGCATTCAGAATGGCCGTCCTCACATCACCCACATTATCTTTGATTTTGACGGAATCTTGGTGGACAGTGAAGACCGATATTCAATGATCCATAGTACTTGTTTGAAATCGTTTGGGAAGGAGTTCAATATTCACATGAAGTATGCCATTTTGGGGTTGAGGAAACAGGATGAAGTGAGGACTTTGCTGAGACTAAATGATCTGGATGGATTGGTGGAGCCGGAGGAATACATAAGAGTAAGTTGTTTTGGACGCTTACAGCTCCCCATTGCTAGAAAATTTAAATGTGTGACATCGATATTTTTTTGCTTTAATTTTGACCACTTTCCTCTCTAGTAAAACTGCTGAAAAATCAAGATCTATTCACTCCAACCTTTCAGTTATACGAGGCGCAATACGAGACCCTTCTGCCCGACTGTCCACCCATGCCCGGTGCTGATGATCTAGTCCATCATCTTCATCTCAACGCTGTTCCCATGGCCATTTGTTCGAGCTCAGGAGAAACAGAATTCAGGATAAAAACGAGGAAGCGCTTCCAGCATTGGCTGAGTATGATCCCAATTCAAGTTTTGACAGCGACAGATAAAGAAGTCAAGAGGGGGAAACCCTTCCCAGACCCCTATCTCATCACTATGTCCCGTTTTAAGGCAAGTTTCTCTCTACAGAGCCCAGGCCTTGTCCTAAAATTGTTTAAAAAATAAATTTTAATAACACTCTGCCATAAATTTTGAGATTTTTAGTCGTCATTATCTAATTTCTTGCGTAATCCCTCCATTTTTTCCAGATCCCACCCGCCTCTCCCCGGAACTGTCTCGTTTTCGAAGATTCGATAAATGGTGCTGAATCAGCCCTGAATGCTGGAATGAATTGCATTTTAATCCCCCAGAAGCAGTTCAATTGCGAAGAAACGATGAACAGTATCAACCAGCTGAGGCCCCGCTTGACGGATGTCTTGGATTCAATGGAGGATTTCGATCCGAGTTTATACGGATTGCCGGGCCGATTCAGCGAATTGGAGCAATGTCCGGAGCTGGAGACTCCGGGCGCCGCGAATGCACAAGCGCCGTGTCACGTTTTCGACTGATTCTGCAGATCTTATATTGTTTTGGCTTTGTAAACACTTCCCTTGATGTTTTAATCTTGTACAACTGGAATAAACGCAAGTATAATATAATTTATCGTCTTCTAAATGATTCCAGAGTCTCTATCGCTTCAAATATTTACTTGTTCATTCAATTTTACATGATCTTACACTACTTATGGCTTGTTTTATAACTTCTTCCCGTATCTATGAGTATTCTTTGTTGAGGGCTCTTCCGATGACCAATCTTCGGACTTCCGAGGTTCCAGCTCCAATCTCATACAACTTGGCGTCCCTCAGCAATCTCCCAGTCGGGTAATCATTAATATAACCATTGCCTCCAAGCACTTGAATGGCATCCAACGCGACTTGTGTCGCCTTTTCCGAGGTGTATAAAATAACTCCCGCACAATCTTTGCTGGTGACTTTCCCGGCCGTAGTTGATCTCGCAATCGTATACAGATAACTTCTGCATGCCGAGAGGGTCGAGTACATATCCGCGAGCTTTCCTTGGAGTAATTGGAAAGTTCCGATTTTGCTGCCAAAAGCAGTTCTTTGATGGGCATAATCAAAGGCAATATCACAGGCACTTTGCATGATTCCCAATGGTCCTCCAGACAGGACTAGGCGTTCCACATCAAGCCCGGTCATCAGCACATAAACTCCTTCATTTTCTTTGCCAAGAATGTTCTCCACGGGGACTTCCACGTTGTCGAAGATCAATTCGCAGGTATTGGAGCCTCTCATTCCCAATTTATCCAGCTTTTCTCCTCGACTGAAGCCTTTCCAATTCTAAACCAACTCGGTAAACCCTCAATCCTCTGTTCACTCACCCTTTCAACAATAAAGGCAGTGATTCCATGAGATTTTTTGGTGACATCAGTCTTGGCATAGACAACATAAGTGTCGGCGTCGGGGCCATTGGTAATCCAGAACTTGTTTCCATTCAAAACGTAATGATCGCCCTTTTTGTCGGCTCTCAGCTGCATTGAGACCACATCGGAGCCGGCGTTGGATTCGGACATGGCCAAACTTCCAATATGTTCGCCGCTGATTAACTAAAATTATATTGCAAAAGGTAAAAATGTCGCCAAATTTTAAAAATCATCGAGCAAAATCAGACTAGATTATCTCCCAATAACTAAATTTTACCTTGGGCAAATATTTAGCCTTCTGTTCGTGCGTTCCATGCCTCACAATTTGATTTACACAGAGGTTTGAATGGGCGCCATAGCTCAAAGCAATAGATCCACTGGCTCGTGACAGTTCTTCCATGGCAATAACATGGTCAAAGTAGGTCATTTCCGATCCACCATACTCCGCGGGTGCTGTGACTCCGAGCAGTCCGGCATCTCCGAGTTTTCTCCAGAATTGACGGAGGTCTGCGAAGTTGTTTTGCTTGTCGATTTCATTGGCAAACGGGGCCAATTCTCGTTGAGCTAGGTTGAAAACGGTCTCACGCAGCTGAAAGAAGCTTTTTTTGTTAATAAAGAGATTGAAAACAAGGCAAAGTAAACTTAATTTTAACTCAATTTAATTACTACTACAAAATGATGACTAAATTACTATGAAAAATTTTTTAAAACGAGAGCTACAGCGCCAAGACCATTTCCAAATTTCATGATCGCGCACTTGTTTACCATTACAAACTCAATGACTCCTGACTTACCATCTTCTGTTCATCAGTGAGTCCATAAACGTCATCGTTAACTGGATAGGTCCGGAATCCATTGCCGACCACGCTGCTCGAGCTGGTTGAGGACGAAGCTGCAGTGCTCTGACAACGCAACGACCGTAAGACGACTCGACTCAACATTCTATTCTGAAGAATCGACCAAATCAAAACAACCGCTTTTATAATAATAAAATTGTAAATTCCATAAATTCCATGTGTAAAATGGACTCAAAATCACGATTCTCGCCGAATAAAACATCTGAAACATTGACTAACAAGACAGATGATCATTACCCACCATAAACAACCCAAAACCACAGAAAATAAGGCTTTTTGCCTACTGTAATATATTTTTTTGTCTAGTGCAACCCAATTTTTTATAAGTTTAGTACCCATTTAGAGATCAACCGCCCTCCCAACGTTCAGACCATTCAAGTGACCAACGACTTTTTCTGTCGCTTCTTCAAACCACGTTTCTCCCGCCGCCTGAGAAACGAACATCCAATCGAAAAAAAGGCGAAAACTTGGATGTTCTGTGATAACAAGCGAAAAAATTAGACCTCTCAGACTAAAATAAAAGGCTTTTTGATGGGGAAATTGATAGTAAAGTCAGGGGTCGGCTAAAGAAAACTAAAAAATAGGTTATTACAATAAATTTTTGAAGTAATGGTTGACATGGACAACAAAATATAGCCAAGAAAGGTGATCACAGAACATCCGCGTTTTTATACGACTATAAGTAATTTCTGCCTAAGCAGAAAGAAAAAGAAATTACATCTATCTCTTGAGCAAGTATCAATATTTTAGACCACCTTGTGGGTAATCAATCCAATTTGCATCAAAGCCAACGAGTTTTTTTTTTCACTTTTTAGTGTCTACCCATCATTGAGAACCTTTTTGTCATCTTTAAACCAAAACTTCCTTCAGATCTGCCCAACTGCTGATGGTAGAAAGTAAACTCATTACCGTACTACACCAAAGATAATGTAGAAAATCAGCCAGCAGTCAGCATCGACAACAGATCACTCAGCACGTGTTGACGACAAAGCTGACAACTTTTTCGATGCCCACGTGTCTCTGCTAGGACCCCAGGCACTCAGACAACTGTCTCATTTCCCCATCTCGACAGTTAATCATCCGTGCAAATTAAAAAAAAAGGAGACGAAGCCCTGGGGACATTATCCATGAACAATTCCTTCTTACAATTTGGATTAAATTTACTTGCAATACCCATATGACTGTATTCGGATAGATAAAGGTGCAGATAGCAAGACGAGAAGATACGGACGAGATTCTGATCTGAATTTCAGTTATCTTACAATATAAAATTACGGTATTTGCTGGATATATTATATATGGAAAAGTGGAGGAAAGCATCGGAAATATAGGAAGATATTACAATCCTACATGGGAGCTGGCAACATCAAAGGCTTATATCAGTAAATTACAACATATTCTGACACGGTTGCAACGTAAAAAATATAACACTAGATAAGATATCAATCACATTAAACTACGTTAAACTCGATGCAAATCTAGGTAAATACAAAACAATCTCGCGCAATAAATACTAGACAATAAATGTAAGGGTGCAAGGCAATCAAAGACAGCATATCAACAACACAAAGCAAAGAATTCAATATTTTTCAACAACTCTAAGATGGCATGAACCATTCATCCAAGAAGCTGGAGGGTTGCTCCTTTCCGAACCTCGATATTAGTTGTTCCCGGCAAGAACCCAGTCCCAGTTGTTTCATGGCCAATTCGCTGATCCCATGGAAGTGTACGAAGGCGGCGATGATCACAAAAATGTGGAAAAGCTGATGCGAATGACAGAAGAGATCACATCGCCCGGGGCAGAATCTCTCGGGGAATCTGAAGGCATAGATGGCAGCTCCGACCAGATAGAAGACGCCCATTAGTACTATCCATTGGAGTGAAGCATTCTGTACCAAGTAATCAAAGCCGTCCGTGATAAAAAGATGTGTTACTGGCGCAAAACCTAAAGAAATTACGGTAATTTACCTTTTAAAAAACAAATCCCTATCTTTCCAATGTAACGAAAATGCCTGGGAGACATCAAAAACTTACTGCTCAATCCCATTAACACGAACACAATCGCTCTCAACGCCCTGAATTTAGGTTCTGAAAACTTGTCCCACAAGGATACGACGAGGGCTGCAGTTCCTAGGATCACAATCATTCCAATGTAAATAACTTTAGGTATTGTTCGGCAATAGAAACTGTAGTAAATCCATGGAACAAATGATCCAACAATGAGCATTGTAATTCCGGAATAATCAAGTCTGTAAATGAGATAAACATAACAAATACATTAATTTCAAAAGTAAAAAAGGACACACTTACTTGCTAAACAGTTTTCCGACTCCTTGCGAATGGCATTGCACAGTATGAAAAGAAAAGGAGAGGCCGAGACAGAAGATGGCACCAGCGAAAAAATTGGAGAACACCAATTTATCGCGCCAATTTATCATATCATTCGGTCTAGTCAGAAAGTACGCCGCTACTCCAATAAATGCCACACATCCGTAAAGATGTGTCCATATGTTACCCGTCTCAGTATGCAGTTGGAAGATCGATTTGAAGCAAGAGGTAAAACTCGGAAGAGGAGGTCGATGGCCGGAATGAAGAAACTCGTTGTCTTGAAGCCATTCTGGTAGAAGATGAAAGTCCTGCACCTTCCACCGAGCTTCCCATATCCGCCTGGCAATCCGGAACCTTGTTCGTCCCGGATCCTCATCTGTCACGTTGATTTCTTCCTCGTCGTATTCCACCTGTAACATGGATAATTTACTTGACATTCTAGGAATAAAACCCGATTCCAATCAACATAAAATGGCTTCTCTAAGACTGCAGAACCATTCAGCTACGTTCTAAACCTCAAATTAAACAACAAACTTGAAGACTCACCTCAATATCATCTTCGACGTTAAGATTGAGATTCGTCGTCTCGATAAACCGATTTATAGCGGCCTCGTTTTGTTGATGGTACGGGTGGAGCCTGTACCGTACCAGATGCCGTCGATGCGTACCTTCTTGCTAAAACAGACGCCTTAATCAACCAGTCCCGAAAGTGCGAAACTTTTGAATAAATCCGTTTTAGCGAAGAGCTCTTTTTCCAGAAAAGTTTTTGGTATAAAACTTGAGAAAATGCCATAAAAACTCACTCGGAAGTCGTTTTCTGCAACTACAAGTAGTGCTTTGTCCCGATGATGGGCGTTTGGCATTGAAAATGCTCGTCTGTGTCCTTTCTTGAACTTTGCTTTACCTCCTTTTGTTTCTGCTGGTTGAGGATCACCATTACCCGTCCGATTTTCCGCATCGCACGTCAAGAAGACACAATCTGCTCCATTCTCTGGAATACCAACATTTTAATGGATGCAAACGACGTGCAGACAGACCAATAATATTGTACATGATATCTAAACCAAGAAAATCAAATGGAATGCACACCTTTCTCAACAACGTTAAACCCCTGCATCTGAAGGGCATAGTTTACTTCCCTTGCCGGTCCTTCATCGTCACTACTATCATCTTCTCGATTGGCTACTACCTTTTCAATGTTCTTTACAATAATGTCAAGTGGATATGGCACTTCGTCCGTGTTTACCGGCCTAAACAATCAGCATACATAGCCAGGAATTCAACTTACCCATGTGGTTCATTGCCCAAGGATTCTAAGGTTGTTTCCGAAGTCCCGGCTTCATTTACTTCCTCGATCACAGCCATAACTCAAAAGAAATTGAGTTGTGACTGGTGAAAATAGTAGAGCCTGCAAAGAAATGAACTGAACTCTGTTTCGAGTGGAGCGAGCACGACGTCATAAGGTAATCAATCTGATAAATGAAACACTAAATTGTTTTCGTTGTCTAAATCAATATAAAATGGAAAATTGATAGAAAATCGATGCTTATCTTTTGGAAAATAGACGGCAAGAAACATACTTGATCTGCTGAACCAATAACTTCTAGAAGTCTTCGAACAAACGCTTCAACTTTTCATAAAAACACAACTACCACAATAGTGCAATATAACGATTATCGGGGCTTTATTTTAAAATAAATGTATTTACAAATAAGTATTTCATAAAAAAGGTTTGGAAATCCTACACAAGACATGAAAAACAAGACAATTTTTGAGAGAGTTCGACGAAATCAGACGAAAAATAATATTATCCATGAGAGAGAAAAGACTTGACCCAATTCCCCGAAAAGAATTTATAATTAGGTCTCGACCAAAATTGCGTTTGCTTGGCATTAATAAGACGGAAAAGAGTCTTTGTAGACGGCGGAGAACGCTTTTTTTCTCCAAAAATAAGCTTCTCCATCACGCCACACAACAAAGTCCGTTCGAAAGGAACGCGAAGAAGCCGTGAATGCTCCTTTCCGGATTTACATACGATAACACGAAGAGAAGCTGCATAAAAGAGCATAAAGGAAAGAGGAACGCGTCACGTGCCCTTACAAGGCGGCAGTATTCCAATTTCCCGAAAGTGAGGCGTCTTTATACGAAACAGTTTCCTCCGAGTTATGGCCCTTTCCCCACTCTGGTTTGGCGTTTGTTTTTCGAATTAGGCCCTGTGGAATTTATCGGGGGAGGATCGACAGATTCCATAAAGAATGACTCAGATTACAAGCAGATTTTGGAATTCCAATCTATAGTAATGTCATGAATAAGGTCATTAGAGAAAAATTCAACCGTTTCTTTGCGGGATGGCCTTCCCAGACATCCAGAAACCGCTCGCTTACATCTAATGCTTCTAAATTTGTTTGTTTTCGACGTGAAGTGCATAACTTTGAAGAAAATATGGAAGTGCACCTAATCTGAAATTGAGCCAGAACTGGCGTGGGCCATGTCGAGGAGGCCGCTAGAGCGTAAAAAATCTGTTTCTTGTGGAATTCAGAGTGTGATTCAGAAAACAGCAGGTCAATTTATTGTTCTCTGAATAATTTAATAATCGAAATATGTAAGGTACACGAAACAAACTAGAATCGTCTATTCATATCATTTCTCTCAAAGGTGCATGTCGATTTGTAGCCAGTGGGGACGGAAGAGCGTGAAACTGAGGGCTTCTTAGAATCGATTCAGATATAACCACATTTGAGGGTCTTCGGCTTGGGCGGATCGGCCGAATCGGACCAATGGGGATTTGAGGTCGGGAGTTCGGGGGGAGCGTTTGCCGAATCGGATCAAGGGGTTGGAGAGGACGTCCTGAAAGTCGGAAAACCAATATTTCAGTCTATTAAATTTTCATGCAATGATAACGTGTCTAGAGAAAGCCTAGGTAAAAATGATGACTTTAGGATTACTGTAATTTTTCAGCTAACATTTTCACCTAGAAATTTTGGGAAAAATTTATGGAATGATTTTCAATGAGGTATGGAAAAAATAGCTTGCATTTTCCAGAAACCATCGAGATTTTCTTGGCCGGAAGTTATTTAAAAAATGGGCACTTTTTTGGTATGTACTTTCGATATAGAATTTCAAAGGTAAATTACGGGTTTACCGTGCAATTTGTCTTTTGAAAATCCTATTTTTTCGCGCAGGAGCGAAAGAGGCATTGAAGAAACCCGTTATTCGTCAGAGAATTCTCTACATTTTGCGTGATCTCTCGCCAAAAGTTCGATTATTTTGGAACCGTGAGCTAAGAGTTTCAATGACTCTAAAATAACTCGCTTTCGCCAAAATTAGTGTACCCCGCTTTTATATCCATGACTTGTAGTTTGTTTGTTACACCACAATGTTGAAGAATCCATTGTGTAATAACCTAGCCTACGCTGCATTGGCGCCTCTAACGGAAGTATCGCTTTCAGCGCTAGTTGGAGCAGACAGTGTTGTCCGTGACCATTAAAAAATAAAAATTCTGATTAAAGTCTCGGACGACTGTATCTGTTTACATGTCTACGGACGTCTTCTGTTTGATGAGAAGTTATTTGGGAGTTTTGAATGCAGATTTATATCATAGATGATTTTTTTCTCTATCGTTTTTAATAGAACCCCTTCAAACCCAGTAAAATCAAAGCCTAAAAATCAATATAAATGTGGAAAGAAGGGGTCGTCGTGATAAAGAAGTCATCAAACTGACCACTCGAGCGATCCTTTGTAATCCACTCTTACGCCAGCGGGTTAATGGCGCTTCGTATGGCTCCTTGGGTGCTTGGAAAGAACGGGTGTTTATAACTGGAGCTGAAATTGAAGGAAAGGATTAGTTTACGATAGACAAGATCTTGCATTCACAAGTGGGATGTGCTAACATCGCTGTGCCATAATTGCCTTTGTCCCAAATAAATTCAAAAGTCGAGCTCCGTTTTTGGTATAACTCCCTTGTGAGATAGACATGTAATCCCTACCATTAGGCCAATCCAAAAACTTGATTTCTGTGGAGTCGAAGGCTGTGATCAGTGGTGTAATATATGTGGCGATGAAGAGCAACGATAACACGAGTACATTCATTGTGTAAGTGACCCTCAAAATATTGTATCAATACAACCCGAACCCTTTATTGTATGGTCATTATGTGCCGAGTTTTGCACGCATATTAATGGGCGTTCGTGTCTAACAAACAAAATTTTAGCTTACAAAAAAGTTTATTTCCGGGGACCCCTGAGGCGTTTAACATTCAAATCATTGTAAATTAAATACCGGGGAGTTCTAGCAACATTAAAAATACGATCCAGCTATGTATTAAAAAATGCATATTGCACACTACATAAGATGTATAAAATCTTGATCTGGCGTTTACAAAGCCGCTAAATGACTTTGCAGATGGAAAACAAACAAATTTATATATTCTTTCTTTACACGTGTGTTTTCGATATCGCAAATCCGTTAATTGGTTTAAAATTGTTCTTAAAAAAGGTGAACAACGTGCTAAACATTCGTCATTGCGAAGCGAGAAGACAAAGTCTACAACCAGCACTTGTGGGGTTATTTTGGGAGATGTTATGGAAATATTTAGAGGGAGATTGATCAAGAGACGACATCAGAGTAATGATTATAAAAGATAGAAAACTGTAGCTGTGAAATAATCTTTTTGTTTCGCGATAGAGTACGCTAACTTTAGGGCTTTAAGGATGCGTTATGTTGTGCGAGTACATGTTCTATGACTTCCGTCACTTGTACCGCGCTATTCAATACTCGTAGTGTTTTACTGAGGAAGATAAAAATCCTTAACATTTCTTAGAGCATTTATTTTTGGTCTGCCCCTAAAGTGGATCAAAATTAGACTCTTTCGGTTCGAGCTTCTATTCTGTAAATGACCCAATAATATGTACAATCGTAAGCTAACCTCCATTGACCTTATAAAGTCTCATCAGTCTAGTCTCGTCATTTTCCCACCCCCGCTCCTGCCCTCAACACAAATCCCAGCACTCAAAAAAACGCATTATTACTGCACGGCCCATAAAGTAATCAAACCCATCGGAAATTATGAAAACTAAAACCGCTTTTATATAGTTTCGGGGCCCAGAAATGCGGCAAACGCAAACACTGGTCATCCTGCCCTCCGCCCATAAATCGACTGGATTGGCTTTCATTGGGGGGAGGAAGTTGATTCCGCGTAATGTGGGGTCGTCTTCCGCCCAAATGGTAAGCCGATAACAACAACAGTGCGTCCCATTCTTTGCAAAATGATTCAGGGCCGGATGCCGGAAATGCCTACATTATATTTATACGCCAAAAACAGGTTGGGTGGGACAAACCAGACGAAATATAAACTATAAGTGAATGCGGTGCCCGGAATTATCATGGTCCCGTATTTTCCTTGAACATCGGTCACTGCATGCATACTGAAAGAGTTTTAACTCTAACAGGGCTAAATGACGTGATGGTGAAGGTTGTTACAGCTGCCAGGTGGTTAGCTGAATTTTGTGGAAGCTGCAACGCTCAAGTTTTGATGGAGCTGAACGAAAGTTAATGTTAAAATTCCTGAGATATATTACAGATCTTTATCCCAAATTTTGAAAAAATTAAAGCGGCTAAGAGAAGAAAGTAGCCATAAAAGCTGCTTGATTTTTGAGAGTCTCACAATTGTCAGGAAATTGATATGTCAGAGGTAAATTTTAACATTTTTTACGAGCATTTCTTGTACACAATATGTAGTCATCAAGTGTAGGCCGTCTTTACAAAGTTTAAAAAGCAAGCTTTGCATTCAGTTCAAGTTGTATCACACAATTTTTGTTTTTGTTTGAAGGCATCTTTTCAAGCTGCATTACAATTGTAAATATCAAAAAAAAATATGCAGCATCAGAAGTCATTTTTTGTCAAAGAAACTATTACTTTTTGGTCAAGATTAGACTCAAGTTTAAAGCCGGCTTTGAACTTTTCTGTCGACACAGATCAAATAGCTACACTTTACGCGATAAAGGAAAAAAATAATAATCCATTGGCGGAGAATAAAGTCGAAATGACCAAAAATAGTAGGAACCGGCCCAATCTCAAATAACCGAAACGTTCTGGGTTCCGTCATCGAAAACCGCTTTCAAAACTCGGGATATTTCCTTGCAGAAGTCGACCGGAAATACTGTAAACAAACACAGCTGACGTAGAAGATAAATGATGACGCGCCAACTTCTCCACACACTTCTTGACCTCACAATGAAACGGCTCGGATTCCCTAGGCCATATTTTTCGAATTTTGATGACTTATGAACCTAGCCTTTTATGGACTTGTAAACGTTGTTCTCAATGGTCGAGGCTCAGAATTGAGGGTCAAATTTTACGTATTTTTGGCTGTGTTCCTGTCTGTGGTTTCTGTAGGCTTTGACTTGAGACAAGAATTCGATGAATGTCGGCTCAATTTTGAATCTTATTTTTTTGAAACTTATCCAGGTACCAAGCTCGCACCACCCGGAAAACGCTGACATTTTTGGACGTAGTGTTTTTAGAAATTGACTTTTTTCGCTCTATTTGTTATGTAAATATAATATTAGGTTAAATTACAATAATGGATCCCCAAAAAAACAAATTTTTACATGCGTAAGCAAAAAAGTCTTGATAAATATTTTTTAGCTGTAGAAATTTAAAAATGAAATCTAGAACTTTCAAAATGACTTTTTACCGACTTACAATTGCTTGAATTTTATGCCAAGTTGATCGAAACATGAACGTCGAGCGGTTAATAATTCTTTTTCACAATTCCCATGCAATTTCACACCAGCAAACTTAAAAATTTAAAATATTTTACTCCAGCTCAAATGCTAATATTCCCTCCTTTCATTATTTTGTAATTCGAGCGTTTATTTAGTCCAATGGTTTTAACATTATCGTTTATTCCCTCAGCCTCGCAGAATTACAGTAAGCTTTTTTTTTTTTTGGGAAATGCGGAAGTAATATCTGCTGTTGAGACTTGGCTTTCCTCACAAAGAATTCGTCAATAATTTTGAGGGAAAAATGCAAAACATGTCCGTTTTAGGCCATGTGTAACACAATATAATGTCGTTTCGATGTGCGTAAACAATGACTCGAACAAATGACTCAATACGAAAGGAGTTGTTTCAACGTCAGAAATTACAACACGTCATTCCCATGCAAACATAATAAGATACGGTATACTTATGCAGTGGGAACTACAAATGGAAATGCGACGCTCAGATTTTTTTTAATTTTGTACACACGTTTTCTTTGAAGCTGGAAAATTTTTATAAATACCAAAATTTGAAAAAACGTCAGATTTTTTGAGTTAAAAATCCCGTTTTTTGTCATTGAAAAATTTAGTCTAAATTTTCGCCAGAGTTTGCAATAATCTAACAAGGGAAGTCACTTTTTTCGCAGATCGATCCATACTGGTGACCTAGTGGACTGTGAAGGCCTCAGGCTGCGTAAGAAGAATCTGGCGTCCAAAAGTGTTTACGGGCCCTGAGGGCAGAGTTATGGCTCATCAAAGTTTGCGCAAAAAAGGTTCCGAAAAGACCCTCCAAAAAAACTGGATCGAAGAAGTGAGCTTCGGTAGCAGAGTGGTTCGCAGATTTTTCTTTTGTCTGGAAGGGCCAGGGTTCGATTCCTCTTCCCGGCAATAACTAAAAATAATATTGTAAGAGTAGCGTAAGTTGCAAAAAAAATATTTTAAAATATTTTTTGAAAAATATTATTATCCTGTCGTTAAAATTTGGGGAAGTCGTTGTGAGCTTGGACACAGTGAGGGATGCGAGGGCATTTTTCCACCGAGGATCACATTCAATTTCTGGAATAATGCGGCGATTACGGTGGATCAAGACGCCGTATCATTGGAGAAAACTGCGGGAACTTTGGCGTAAAGGTAGGACTGGGATTCTCAATATGTATATCTCTGATGTTTTAGAAGACGCCCTTGGTGATCGTGGTATCATGCTGAAGCGTTTCAGTCGAACGCTTGCTGTCTGGGCAGATGATAAATTTAGTGACGATATGAACAAAATCGTCATTTTTTAACGACAGGATAATAATATTTTTCAAAAAATATTTTAAAATATTTTTTTTGTAACTTACGCTACTCTTACAATATTATTTTTAGTTATTGCCGGGAAGAAGAATCGAACCCTGGCCCTTCCAGACAAAAGAAAAATCTGCGAACCACTCGGCTACCGAAGCTCACTTCTCCGATCCAGTTTTTTTGGAGGGTCTTTTCGGAACCTTTTTTGCGCGAACTTTGATGAGCCATAACTCTGCCCTCAAGGCCCGTAAACACTTTTGGACGCCAGATTCTTCTTACGCAGCCTGAGGCCTTCACAGTCCACTAGGTCACCAGTATGGATCGATCTGCGAAAAAAGTGACTTCCCTTGTAAGCGCCCCATTTCGAGCAATTCCCCAATAATTTTTCGTATTCCTTATTCCAGATGTTCAACCATCAATTGCTTCTTGTCATTCTGGCTGACAAATGCCAATGGCCCACCATTTCCAATATTCATCGAGGCCGGTGGTGGAGGGACTATGCCTTGGGCGATTAAAGATGGATTTGCCCACCGAAGCGCCTCCAACGGATAGATGGAACGGTATCTGTTGGGGATCAGCGTCCAGCAAGAGCCGTCCTTGTCACTGCGATAGCAGGCGCCACAAGTCAACAGGGAGATGAAGGACTCGCGGAAGGCCGGAAGGCAGATCACATTGGCGAAATAAAACGCGACCGGGATGTATAATTGAGTGGTCTGGAGGAAGGAGACCACCGGTTTTAATTTATCCGCCAATTCCAGGAGGGACGCCATGTCCAGAGAGGATCCGGAAGTCGTATCGGAGCTGCTGGAAGACGATTTCATTTCTTTCATGTATTCCGTAACGGTGGGGACAACATTGAGCATGATGTAATTGAACGAATTCATCAAGTTCTGAGTGGCAACGAACGTCGTCACAATAACTATGTTGAACCAGAGCATGAATAGATCGATAAGGTCGGAAAATTTCTGTAAACGGGATTAGGATGGGTAAAAGAGAGGACAGAAGAACAAAAAGGGAAAGGAACTGCAAGCGGATCCTGGCATTTGGTCCAGGCAACATGTTATCTATTACATACTTATTCAATCGCCCAATAGCCAAGTTGTTGGATTGGCCCCGAGAATCTCACAGCTGAATTTTTGTTCTTAAAACGCCTTTTGAAAAAAAATTCTGTGATTTCATTTTACAGTAAGACCTTTTTGATGTCATAATTTCGCCTCCATACAGGGAAGTTTCTGGCCCCCATTACTGTCTGTATATTTCGTTAACACCTTCATTAACCATTTGCTCTGCCATTCCTAAGCCTACAGTAGGTCGTGTTCTATTCGCAATTTCACCTGCACCGAGAATCCACGCACCTGTTCAGAAGTCTCAACAAAAAAGACACGCCCACGATTACAGAAGCACCGCAGTGGTCATACATTTTAAAATTCAACTCGATTTCACAAGACAATACCAGAAAATTCTACCGAACTCCTAAGCACACTGCACGCCACGTACGTTGCCTATGTAACCGAGGATGGCGGCCAGTAAACGCATCCCAAAACCGGGCGTATAGACTCTCCAGCCACCCCACCACACGTTCCAACTCACCTCGCCCAACCGGCCCTCCAAACTTTTACAATTCAACAGCGCGAAGCAAATAAAGTAGCCGGCAGAAGCAAGCGCAAACAGCAGCAGGTAGATGACGGTTATGTAGCCGCCTACACAAATGTAGAACTGGTAGGCTTCGAGATAAGTGCCAGTGGGAACTTGACCGTCTCCATCAAGGGCTTTGTACTGAAATGAAGAAACCTTTGGATGAATGGGATAGATTTGAAAAGGAATTTTGCAAAGAGAGGGCCACGTCAAACTGAGGAGTCCGTTGACCGGAATAGACTCTTCGCTATCGGTTTTTTACAGATTTACACTGATTTTTAGACCAAAAATTCGATACAAATTCGGCACCCGAAGCGTGAGCTAAATATTTCAGAATATCGTCATTTGGTGCATAGCCTATCTTCGCAAAATTTGATGCGAAGTTTGCACTTTCACTGCATCGCTTGATGATTTCCTTTGCGTAAACCTACGTAAAGGAGCGCGAGGAAACCATTGGCGCCAAAAAGAGCCCCATAAACGATCACCCAAAGAAACCATTTGAAGAAGTAAGTGCCGCGAAGACTCGAAGCGCCATAGGAAATCAAATATATTGGGACCATAATCGTAATTGCTGAAATTTCATTCATAATTGTGTAGCATTTAATATTGTACGAGTTGAAATTGATACTCTAAAGCCACTTACAAGCCGGGAAAGCCGAAAGAGTAACCCATTGAATCGCTTTTTGGTGTACCGTAACATAAACATTCCTCATGTAATCTTGCCAAGGACTGTCCTCATCCACATCGACGAAAACAAACTGAAAAAAGGTGTCATCAAGGTTAGTGGTGGCTAAAAACTTACCAGATTGATGATCATGAAGATGGTGACATAAAGAACGTGCCATCTGGTTCCATCATTCCTCATTCTTCGGCCGAAAATACAAGTCCACAGCTGGATAATCATCAAGACAAAGCCGAGGATACAGAAGAAACAGAACTTGATGTTAGTCCAGTCAGCGGTCTTGAGCTTGCCTTGGGAGTCCGTGTAGTCGTAGGTGTCTTCTGGAGAGATATTAGTTTAGAAATGGAAATTGGATTTATTTGACAGAGCAATTACAAAAATCGCTAGATATTGCAATTTTTGGCTTAAAAATTTTTAAGTCTGTGGTAAGCAAACTTCTCAAAAGATAAGTCGATCACACGTGTACACGTCAATCCAAAATAGAAGAAAAAATTTCCCGCGCCTTTTTGGTGATTCGTTCAAAACGAAATGTCACTATCCGATAAAAAAAAATTTCTTATCTTTCTTCTTTAAATCGAGCTCTCCCTAGTATTACAATATCACCTTACCATCCTTGTGCTTGTTCTTAGTTGCCGCTCGTTTGACTCGATCATGAACTGGCTCATCCGTCAGCAAATCCACATAATCGTCGTTCACATACTGATCAGCCGCTGAGATCAAGACCACCACCAACAATGGGGCCAGATTACGGACGGATAATATTCGTCGCAGGGCCAACAGAAATCCCATTTAGATACCGCAAAAGGGCGGTCGAAACGCCGCGAGGAACTACTTGTAGTAGCCTGGAAGTTTCGGAAAATAAATACAAGGCAAATCTGTCAAATACTGTAGAGATTCTACAGTAAGATTGTAACGTCAGCCCCAAACTTTACTCCCCGAGAGTTTTAAAAACAACTAAACCTTTAAAATGCGGAATTCAATGTGAAGACAGCTGAAAACTCACGCTTAAATAGCCCGAGGCGGCTTCACCTGGCCCGGCATCGCTGATGAGCCGTGATTTCCACTAGACCAGAGGAACAGCAGGTGATTTTGAGAATCCTTAAAGACAGCGTACAGCTTCATAATAGGCCCATCTAAATTAACAAACTTCTGGATACAATGTTTCTTTGTAGTTTTGAGACTAAACTTGTAAAGAGTGTAACAATTGAAACTTGAACTTGAATAAACATGGATAATATATATGAAGAATAAGAAGAATAAAAAAGATCCGAACCATCTAGAACCTTTAAAGATCACAAGGAGACCTCATGCGAGTGACCAATGATAAGATAACACCGGAAAATAGGATGATGACCATCGATAATCGTCTTTTATTTTCAACCATTCACTATGAGCAATATTTTTTACTGTAAAAAATAAAATTTTAAGGCAAAGTTTCCTTGTCTACTGTATTTTCAAGACTATCTCAACCTTCGTGAAGCTCAATGTGTCCTTTAGAGTTCATCTTGGCCATCCTGACGCACTTTTCTGTTATTTTTGTCTTAGTCCACTGGCTGATAGACGAACAAGTCATTGACAAATTGATAAAATTCAATGTAATTCGCTCCAAAATTATGCTCCCTCACATTTATCGAAAACGCAATTTTGTTTCGGTTCGAATCTCTGGTGCACCGAGAATTGATAAGGAATCTTCCCGGTTAATTTTTTTGCGTCTTTTAATTCCATTAGAAAAATGTTTAATCTGGTCTAGAAAAAAGATTTTTGCGGTAAAATACGACTTATTCATTCGGAACCGACTTTTCTCACCTAAGAAATGTTTATCAAGCCCTACAAGCTCGTATTTTACAATTTTCGGCCAAAAATTTTGTGTTTCGCAACGAAACTTTTGGCCCGGCAAAAAACGACTTCAAAAATAAAAAAAATCAATTTTTCGGAAATTTGTCGACAATGTCATCACAAAGATAATAAAATAACTGATATAATCCGTGATTTTGGGGTCGAGAAGACCGTTTCTATCTCCTTATCAGGGTTCCCCTGCTTCTCCACGCATTTTTAGATAATTTTCTAATGAAATTGAGTAAAGATAACTTTTCCATCCACCTGCATTTGACGTGAATTTACCTTCTGGAAGTCGCAGTTTATACCTAAAATATATTTCCGAACAGTTACAGCTGTGTTTATTTTTTTAGGCTCACACATTTGGGAGGGTCAAATAGAAGTGCAACTTGAGCTGAACAGCTCACAATGGACGTTACAACGGATGTCGAGGCGACCACGAGTAATGATTTTGCAGATGACCTAACTGGAATTGATGCATTCTGCGGGGAACCGCTAATGGTAAGACTTTTGTATTATTTTGGAGTTTTTAGATATGCGATGGGGTAAGAAATTCTAGAATTACGTAAAACCCCTTGAAGTGGTACCCAAAATAAAGTTCGTGCCCGTTTTGGCAACGAAGTTTGGCTTTATCTTACTTTTGTAAAAAATCTGATCTTTTATCGTAACCCTAATAAAATATTATTTTTCAGAGGCCGGGCTGGCTAAACAGCTCATCTCTTCCAGTAATGACCCAATGCTTCCAACACACTGTAATGGTTTGGATACCGTTTATTTTTGTTATGGCAAGCGCTCCCATAACAATATTTCGGATATCCATGAAAAAGAATCAACCCCTGCCTTGGACTCAACGACTTTCTGCTAAATTAGTATGTTTGAGCTTTCAGTAGGCCACCGATGGGATGTAGACCTTCTAGGCTGATTTAAAATAATTCCTCCGAATTCCTTTTGGTTTTCACAGATCTTTCGTCTTCTACTACAATATAATTTTTCCCATTTTTCAGACAATTACTTGTTTGCTAATATTGGATTCTGCGTTTTTGTTTTTGTTGGCCTTCTACGAAGCTCTCGGAGAAGGGATTTTGAATACAGTGGATTTTGTCTATCCGCTTATGGAGTGTTTCTCAATGGTAAGTGTGCGTTATATTTTTATACTCCGACGTTTAGATATTGATGGCGACGTTTACATTGGCATGCCAGAGGTATGGAAAGGTGACGTCAGGAGGCATATGGCTGACCTGGGTGATCTTTGCGATATGTGGGATCCCAGAGTTGCAATATTATCTAAATCTTGGGTTCAGTCCGTCGGTAAGGTGGATTTTTTGCGTAATGTTGTGTTAAGATTTTTTGATGACTAGAACGTTGTTTGAAATACTGTTTTGTTCTATTTTTAGCAGTTGCACGTCCACGAAGTTCCTCGATACATCTCATTTTTAATCTGGTATCCCTGCATTGTTGTGCAGGTTGTTTTGTTTTCATACGCGGATGTTCCGGGGTCGGATCGGTATAAACGGCTGGGACATGAGGTAAGGCAACTTTTTGATTGGTTTACTTTTGTGTTTAGAAGATCTCAGAAGAGAAGTTCTCTTCTTTTCCCAATCGTCAATGCATGTGGTGGTTCAACAAGATTTGTGCAATTGGTATCCGAAAACCCTTGGAAGTCAGCGATCTCTACTCACTGAACGCCGATGACACTTCTGCTTGTCTAGTCCCACGGTGGAATAAATTGTGGAATGAAGCGATGAAGAGTAAGGTCCACTTTTATATTATTCTATGCCAAGTCGAGTATTCTAATGATTTTGATTGTTTTAGAGTATGTTGCAAACAAGAAATCATTGGAAAAGCGTCGAAGAAGCGTACTCGAAGCATCGACTCAACTCGAATCAGACACAACGCCATTGTTAACTGTCAATATTGATAGAACCGACTCCAATCTCTATGGGACAACATCTCCGGAACCTCAATCGAGACCTTCAGTGTCTCCTCCATCAATCTTTCTGAGATTGTTCTGTATGTTCAAGTGGGATATTATTGCTGCAATGCTTATCAAGTGCGTCTCCGATTTGCTGGTTTTTGCCAATCCACAACTTTTGAGGTAGGATAATATTGAAAAGTGATTGTGTTGGAAGTTTTTATTAAATTTGATGTTGATTTTAGCTCTCTCATCAAATTCACGGAAAATCCCGCAGCACCCATGTGGCATGGGGTTATCTTGGCGTTCGGAATGTTCTTCGCCGCCGAATTGAGCTCTTTACTGCTGAACAACTACTATTACTTGATGTACAGAGTTGGAACTCGAATCCAATCTGTTCTCACTGCTGCAGTTTATAGCAAAGTAAGTTTATTTTCGATTGATTTGAGTCTCTTCCGTTTTTAGACCCTGCGGCTTTCAAATTCGGCCAGAAGAGAGAAAACCGTCGGAGAAATTGTGAACCTAATGGCAATTGATATCGATAGGTTCCAACAAATCACCCCGCAGACTCAGCAGTACTGGTCTACACCTCTGCAAATTGGATTGGCCTTGTATTTCCTGTGGAAACAGATTGGAGTATCGGTTATTAGTGGAGTCATGGTCATGTTCTTATTGTTGCCAATTAATTTTTTGATCACAATGCAAACAAGGAAGTATCAGGTGAGAATCGATTTTAGAATTAGACGCAGGGTAATTTATCTGTCGTATTTTACAGATTTAATTACGAATTTGATGAGTTTTTGGGTGGAATAGACCATAAAGTTTTATCTCATTTTAGGTCCGTCAGATGCATGTAAAGGACGAGCGAACCAAGATGGTGAACGAAGTCCTCAGTGGAATCAAAGTCATCAAGCTGTATGCCTGGGAACCCCCAATGGAACATGTCATTAACGAACTCCGCTCCAAAGAATTGGCGTTGATCAAAAAGGCGGCTTTCCTCCGAACCTTCTCAGACATGTTGAACACTGCCTCGCCATTCTTGGTAGCGGTCTCCACCTTCACGACCTTTATATTCCTCGATCCTGCGAATATTTTGACCCCTGAGATTGCGTTCGTTTCGCTGACTTTGTTCAATCAACTGAGAACTCCGATGAGTACGGTGGCTGAACTAATCTCACAAACGGTCCAAGTGTTTGTCAGCAATAGAAGATTGAAGGAGTTTTTGGTCTCGGATGAGCTAGAAGAATATGTGGAAAAGGCACCCGGAGACAGTAGGTGTTTTTTTGGGAATAAAGTTGTATTTTGTTGTCCATGACACCTCTTTGTTTTCAGATTTCCGCCCAGACGATGACATTGTCCTAGTCCAACAAGCGAATATCACCTGGGACCGAACCGAGCCGATCCCATCTTTGACTGGCCTCAACATGGCCGTTCCTCGAGGCCAATTGATTGCAGTGGTGGGAAAAGTGGGAGCCGGAAAGAGCTCGCTTTTGATGTCCTTGTTAGGAGAAATGGAACGCCTTAGAGGAAAGATTGGAGTTTATGGAACGGTCGCGTATGTCCCACAACAACCATGGATGCAGAATGGATCCGTGCGACATAATATCGTGTTTGGAAAAAGATTTGATGAGTACTTTTATGGACGAGTTATGGATGCGTGCGCTTTGTACCCGGATATGAGTATTCTGACGTCGGGAGATATGACTGAAATTGGCGAAAAGGTAAGGTTACGTTGATTTATGGGTGGGTAAGGGTTATTGACGACTAATAACCCCACTTTTAGGGTATAAACGTCTCGGGAGGACAGAAGGCTCGCATCAGTTTGGCAAGATCCGTTTATCAGAACAGGGATGTGTACCTAATGGATGACCCCCTTTCAGCAGTCGATTCCCATGTCGGAAAACAATTGTTTACGAATGTCATTGGGCCTGAAGGAATGCTGAGAAATAAGACGAGGATTCTGGTCACTCATGAACTGTCGTACTTGAAGTATGCCGATCTGATATTAATCATGGCTGGTGAGTTGTGTTATATTACAATTTTGTATTGAAAGATGACTTTTTTTATTCTGAATATGGCTGTTTTAGACGGAAAGATCCAATCGGAAGGCTCATTCGCCGAGCTGACTCAAACTGGCGCCTTCAATCAGCTCCTGGAAGAGTGCAAAGAAGAACAATTGGTTGCCCAGACTACAGCTCCGCCTGAGGACTCGGACGAATATTCGGAATCGGACTCGGAAGACATCTTCGAGGATGAAGAAAACACTGTGGATAAGATGCTGGGCACCAGCGCGCTGTCAACGGTTTCTGGAATTGCTACGAGAAGGCGGAAAATATCAAGCACCAGATATACAAGAAGAAGAAGGCATTCAACGACGAGAGACTCGGTTTTGTCCACGGAAATTGGAGGACGGCAGCTGACGGGAACTGAGAAGGTCGAAACTGGAAGAGTAGGTGATATTATTATAGGTTTAATCAGGATTCTGGTTGAGGTGTCTAGTGCAATATAAAAAATTTGCATTGTGTCAAAGTTTTTATATGAAATGCCTTTAGGTCAAATTGATCGTCTATCTGAACTATTTCAAAGCCATGGGATTCTTCCTGTCGTTCCTGTTTGTATTCGGAATGACGACATCAACAATCGCGTCAATGTTGAGGAATCTCTGGCTGACGGACTGGTCCAATGACAACGAAAAACTGGCTCAGAATTCATCTGCAGTCCCTAAAATGGATATAGGAATGCGATTGGGAGTTTATGCGGCGATTGGATTTAGTGAAGGTAAGAAAAAGAGATTGATCATGAATAATATAAGAATATGTTTTTTGTGGAACTTGTTTGATCTAAGATAGTGTAAAATAATGTTTGCAGTGGGCCTAGTGTTCTTCGGAATGTCCGCTCTGCTGTTTGGTGGAGTGTCGGCCTCCAAGAATCTTCACGCTCCACTTCTGCGAGCCATCTTCAGAGCTCCGATGAAATTCTTTGATACAACTCCGTTTGGCAGAATTCTGAACAGAATTGGGAAGGATATCGAAACCATCGACTTCCTCCTACCATACAATGTTCAGTTCTTTTCGCAATGCGTCTTGCAAGTGGTCTCAACTTTGGTGATCATCATGATATCAACTCCAATTTTTGGAATCGTTGTCATCCCTTTGACTGTCATGTATTTGATTGTGCTGGTAAGTTTGTGATATTATAGGAACCCTAACCTCCTTCAGAGACCATTTTATTGGAGAGCGGACTTACAAATGATTCCAATTTCAGAGGTATTACATAGCCACATCTAGACAGTTGAAGCGTCTGGAATCTATTACTAGGTCCCCAATTTACTCTCACCTCGGAGAGTCGATCAATGGAGCAGCCACTATACGAGCTTATAATGCCGTCGGAAGGTTTTGTCGAATCTCGGAACACAAAGTCGATACTCATGTGCAATGTCGGTATCTCAATTACGTCGCGAATCGATGGCTTTCAATTCGATTGGAATTCATTGGAAATTGTGTTGTCCTCTTTGCAGCGCTATTTGCTGCTTTGACGAGGGAGACGACCAGTGCTGGAGTTCTTGGTCTGAGTGTTTCGTATTCGTTAAATGTAAGTTGGGGTAGGAAATTAAAGTTGATGCGTTTTGAGGATGGTTAAAGCTGTGTGGAGGATTTGGAAGGTTTCTAATACTGCGGAATTGATTGCGGAGTTGGACTTTATTGTATTCCTTTCTTTCAGATTACATTTGTCCTCAACTTTGCCGTCCGTCAGATCAGTAAGCTGGAAACGAATATTGTGAGTGTGGAAAGAGTCAAAGAATACTCGGAGACCCCGCAAGAAGCCCCATGGGTAACCGACAAGAAACCCCCACCAGGATGGCCAAGGACCGGATCCATCGAATTCAAAGATTATTCGACCAGATATCGGCCAGGCTTAGATTTGGTGGTGAAAGGAATCAATGTGAAGATTGAATCTGGCCAGAGAATTGGAATTGTTGGACGAACGGGCGCAGGCAAGAGCTCAGTGACCTTGGCTTTGTTCAGAATGATCGAACCGGCTTCAGGAAAGATCATTATCGATGGAGTTGATATTTCCGGTAAGAGGGCATTAAGTGTAATATACGCGTTGGTGTATTAATATTTTTTTGGCCAAAGGCATTGTGTGTTACATAGATGTTATAATGAGTTTATTATTTGTAGAGCTTGGCCTCCATGATCTCCGTTCTAACATCACCATCATCCCACAGGACCCAGTCTTATTCTCAGGAAGTCTTCGATTCAATTTGGATCCGTTTAACAAATACACTGATGATGAGATTTGGAGAGCACTGGAATTGGCCAATTTGAAGACCTTTGCCGCCTCTCATCCTCAACTTTTGATGCACGAAATCACGGAAGGTGGAGATAATATCAGGTGGGTACTGTAGTATAGTATCGATTTTTTTCGATTTTTTTTTCTTTGGTAAATTGAGTTTGTATTTCTCGGTGGAGAGGTATATGACTAATTGTTGAATTTAGTGTGGGACAACGTCAATTGGTTTGTCTGGCCAGAGCTTTGTTGAGGAAAACGAGGCTATTGGTTCTTGATGAAGCGACTGCCGCGGTGGACATGAACACGGACTCGCTGATCCAACGGACAATCCGGGAAGAATTCAGCCAATCTACTGTGCTCACAATCGCCCACAGACTCAACACCATCTTGGATTATGATAGGTGAGATATTTGCTGGGCATGTATAACATAAACTTATTGAATTTTTGCAAATGTTTGTTGTTAATATGACTTATTGTTATGTTTGCAGGATAATCGTACTGGATGCCGGCCGAATCCGCGAATTCGACTCTCCCGACAATCTCCTAGCCGATCGGCACTCCATTTTCGCTGGTATGGTCCGTCAATCCCAGACCCCCACCGCCACGACCAGCGCCCCCATCCCGTCGACCAGCTCTTCTTCATAGGACCCGTAGAACTCTCATCTTATATGTTGTAAAAATCCTGAGGTTTTCATAGCTGTTACTATAGCCATAGATTATTATTAAGTTTATATTTTTGTCAATTTTAATAATTTCCCAACACCTTTTTTTTGCTAGATTTTGTATCTATCTAACCATAAATAATCGATAAGTTAGTTTTGGAATTGAAGGGCGCGAAGAGAAGGAGTGCAGTGTTAGCCAAGTCATATACTGTAAACCGTCATGGCTGGAGCAGTCATCAAGATTTCCAACATGCCTATTTTTCTTGATTTTTGCACTTGGCTCAAATTAAAATTAAAACCGTCAGAGATCTTTTCTTTCAATACAAAAGTGCAAGAAAAAACGGATTTTCTGAATGTCATTATTTTTTCATTTCTGTGATGACTACTGTATACATTGCCTTGGTTTCCGACGAATTTGATTTTTAGAAAGTAATTATCAGCTGATCATCATCAATTGGAAACAAAGCCTTGAATAAAACTTTTATAGTGTATTGTAGAGCTCTATTGTCTCGAGAGTTCAATGTCTTCCTTCCACAGCTCTCTTTCTGGCAAATTAAATATGGCTTGTGTAACTTACATACTTATCCAACGGCTAGCCAGATGGTTGGAGCGACCCAAAGCCTCATCTAAATTGTAATTCGACTCTCTGGCTAGCCATTTAAATATTTGATTTATAGAATTTCGTGTAGCCATTGGATGGTTGTGAAATAAATCACAAAAGATCTGTCCAAAATAAGTTTCTGGTCGCTTTATTTTCTGTCATCAACTTTGTTCTCTTTCATCCTTCATTAATTACATTATCCTTTATTCCTGCATCCCCGCAGCTACCCGGAGAAGAACAACTTTTGCTCAAAAGAAAAGATTCTAATCGAAAATTGGGCGCAAAGGAAGGAGAAGGAGAATGAATGTGTTCTGTGGGGTTTCTCGTCCCCCCTCGCCTCTTGTTTATCTTCTCTTTTCTCTTTCGCCTCCGTTTTTCGTCCCTTTTTTCCACTTTTTCTTCCTTTTACTGCGCTTGAAATTCTAAATTTTCCGCTCACAAACCCTCTTTTCCGACGTTTGTTGGCAGCTGCGGTGTGTGTTGTAAGTCAACAATAGTTTTTTTGGAAGTTTTACACCGCTTTGCTAAAAAAATTACTGTGCTCTGCCGAAGATGCGTCATTTTCTTAAAATTTTTAGCTAAAGTAATATAAATTAGCGTAATGGTCAACTAATTTGATTCTTTTATTGATTGTTTGTGTAAATACTTACTGTCAGTAATAATGCTACTGTTTCATTTTAATTTACAAGATCTTTTCCACCTATTTTCTTATCCATGTGATCTCTGATCTTTCAGAAGAATGGTGACGTTAACTGTTGCTGAACAACATTCTCTCTTCGCCATCTGCGCCCCATATCGGAATTGTCTCAAGGCGAGATTAGTGAACCCTGTTGAGATCGATGGACAACTTCGGACCATCAATGCGTCCATGAAATGCGAAATCTGGAAGAAGATTCATTCAAAATTCTGCGCAAAACATCCCAGACATTCGAGGACTACGGTGAAAGAGATCCAGGTGTACTATGGATGTTGGAAACAAAAGTCCAAGATGTTGCTCCAAAGATTGGCTCGAGGAGAGACACTGTATGAGGTGAGAGTCTTATTTATAGATCATGATGACTGATGAGGTACTATTTTTTTAGGCTGAACTTGACTCTTTAAAAGCCAGTGGAGTTGATCTAACCAAGTTCAAGACCACTGGCAATGGTGCTGATGTTCCAATGGAACGAGAACTCGAGAATTTGGCCACCAATGACACCGAAAGTGCAAGCACTATTACTGATACCAACGACTTCTCGATCGAAGCGCCATTAGCCAAACAGGAGATTGAAGAAATCCCAACCAGCAGCTTCAATGATGACACGATGAACTTCAGGAACTACACTCTCAATGGAAACAGCAACGATGGAATAAACATTACTCCAACGGTAAGATTGATTTCATAATTCGAAGGATGATTCCCACTTTAGCCTTTCCAATTCAATTATCAATCGCCCATCACACCCCGTCCATTGTGTATCACCGATGCTCTAAACATCGTCGACTTCTGTCAAAATAAGGACCTAAAATTTGAGATGAACGGAGAAAACCTAGTGTTCAGACCAAGAGAGCCCGAAGAAGATAAAGCCATCAACATTCCCATTCAATTATTCAAAGAATTGGGAAAATAATTATGTTCTGAATACAATAAGTAATAATTCTAAGTAACCTAAATTAACTACTGCTAAATAAAGAATGGTTTCTACTTTCTAGCGCAATTCTAAACCACTCGGAATATAAACAACGAGTTTATCAATAATCCAACATAATAAAAACAACAGTAAAACCGAGAGCCGACCAAGAGTTTATTCTTGGACAACAGTGGTCTTCTCCGAAACGTAGATACCGTCCAAGAACTTTCGGATATCTTTGTTTCTGACGTTGGTTGACTGTTGGATGCTGGCGGCTGAAAAGATTGAGGTAAAAACACTCATAAATTTTGGACATTGCTTATAACAAATGTAAAAAACCATGTAAAAAATTTGCTTACCGGCCTGTGAGACCAGTTGGAGGTCGTTTCCTTCAATGATCAACTCGTCCTTTTGTTTAGTAGACATGCTGGCAGCAACACCTTTGGGGAGGGTAACGCGTCGGATCAGCTTCTCACCCAAGAAGTTACGGATCTAAAGATAAAAATAATATTTTATACAGCATCCCAAAAAATTACAATCGCAGTGACATAACCGAAAAAGATTGTAAAAGATTAAAAACGAAGAAGAGACCGACGTTGTCAAAAATTGATCAACGTTTTTTCCTATGCACCCCCAAAACCCGCTCAAGTTCGCCTAAAAACAAAATACACTCGACAAAAAATACTTACATCAACAACGGTGTTGTTTTCCTGAAGAGAAATGTTGATGGGGAAGTGAGCGTATACGGAACGCATCTTGTAGATATATCCCTTGGTGACCCCCTTGATCATGTTGTCAATGTGAGAGCAGACGGAGCGGATGGCGGCCAATTCCTTGCGAATACCGAACCATTTGCGCACACGGAGAACGCTCTTGCCCTCCTTGAGGATCTCGACTCCCAAGTGCCGGAAAGAACGGGCCAACTTTCCGCGAGGACCAGTCACCTGGACCAATCGGTTGTTTACGGTGAAGGTAACTCCTTCGGGGAACTTGACGATGTCGCTGCTCTCGATCAGCTTCATGTTTTACCTGGAAATAACACAAATGGTTGAAACTCTTAAAAACTAGAGAAAACATCGAAATTTTGCATCAAAACACGCAAACCCTAAAGAAATATAAAATCGAACATTCGAAATAATGTATTACTAATCAAAATAACTGGTAAACGCACCAAAATGTGCAATTTTGCACTTTTTTATCAATTTACCCCACTTTTCAATAAAAGAAAAATCTTCCGAAGGCCTTTTATTTCTACAGTTCGTTTGTTTTCGTGGTGGGACGGGACCTCTGGCATAATGTATCGAAAAAAATTGACTGCCGAGCTGCGCCCAAATTATCCTTCCCATATTTTTTGCCCAAGAGATTTACATCTATAATCATATTCTTATCCGTTATTCCCATATAAATATAAATATCACAGTTTATTATCATAGGTTATATAAATAAAACTCAATTACGCTGTTGATTCCGTTGCTGCTGCTAACCGTGAACCGACCGACGAGAAGTCATAGTTCTCAATCTAAAATTGGGGAATTAGTTTATTTCCCAGTTTAAAATACGTCAATCCAAACATATTTAAACAAGCTCCCAAAACTCACAAAAGTGTCATGACTAATCTGCGATTGAAAGTAGGGTTTGAAACACGTCTCGAAGGAGAAGATCCCTTGGAAACACTGATTTAGGAACGGTGCAAAGTGGATTACGATCAATTCGGTAGCGCGTTTTCTGAGACTCTCGTCTGCTGGGTCTCCAAATCGTTGAATCCATTCTAGAACTGCATGCAGCGATGATTTCAAAACGTTGAATACATCGTTTATCTGTAAATAGTCCATTGTCACTCATTCTGGATAAACAAACACCTTTTCAAACCACCTTAAGCGACCCAAAATTTAAATTACACTTACATAAACAGGAGATAAAGAGTGCCTGAGGTCGTTTAGAGCATCAATAATCTCATTCCCATATACACAAAGGTCATCCCAGACGCATATTTCGACTGGTGCTGTTGATGACTGTGCTTCTGCACTGGCTGTTTTGCCCTCAATATCATTTCTGTTTACTTTGAAGATGTCTTCATCCAAAAGATCCAATTGTTTTTGGCCGATAAATCTAAACACCAAATTCAAATCAAATTCTAAACTTGCATTTCCGTGGCTTTCTGCACTCTTCTGGAGAACGATTCCAATGTCATTAATGCCAGTTCATTGATGATCAAAGGTCGGAAGTCCATTCCCATTCGTCCAAAGGAATTGGCGAAGCTCATAAGTTTCCCGCCGATGGACTCTAAATCAATTGGTGATCTTCTGTCGGTTGATCGAATTCTCTCAAACATAACGTCAATATTTCTGTGGGCCCAAGATTGTAGTAGATAGTTCTGGGATCCTCCAGTCCACCGCTCCCATCTTGGATCATCGGAAGATGACTGAAACAATATACAAAACAATATAGGTCGTTTGTAAAAATTGAACAGTGTCATCACCCTTTCTCAAGCCATATTTACCACTTTACAAAGTGACTTACGTATTTCTTATGAGAATCAACACCTGGGAACACTGCGAGATATAAGACTATAGTATCATACATACAGTCTCTGTATACGTCCACAATTTTGATCGCATAATCCGGTTCTGACTAAAATCCAACCATCATAAACATTGTGATAATTACATACCATCAAAGCCATTGCATTCTTTTCCAGATACACATCTCTATATTGCAGTAGACATACTCGGAGCTGTGTGTTTGATATGTACGGGATCTTCCTGATGTTATTTACAATTTGAATAGACTTGGCAAGATCAATAGGACCGGCGAATTTGTTAAAGAGGACATCCAGAAGACCGTGACGTGCTTCGATTAGTGTGTGAGAAACTTTCTAAAAGAAAAATAAAAAATAAAAAAAAATAACTCGCCTTGATAATCTGATTCTCCCCCAGTTTGCTTTGTTGAAGATTAACGGCAAAGGTTGTCAAAGCATAAGCCAGATCGTATTGGCCATGTCGAATACATTTATCCATCATCTTTGGCAAATTTACGATCTCCCAGATTGGCGATTCGTCCGAAATTGCATCATCCAAATGCATAAACTCCCGAAATATGTCTTCTGAGCTCTCGATAAAAGCTTCCGTCTCTTCTATCAGCACAGGCAATCGTTCTTTGACATGCGACATCTCCTTGTTGATGTTATCCAACTAAAATGATACAAATATTAATAGATCGTAATTCCAATTGATGATAATGGTGCACTAAATACTCAAAAGGAGCTACGAACCATATCACTGCAGTTCTCGGCGGTTCTTCCGGCATCAGCATAGATTCTGTAGTTATTGAAGGCCAAATCACTGATCTTTTGAGTCAAATGTGAAATTTGTGATGATAATCCCGCTCTTTTCGATTCTAAATGGCAAGTACAAAAAGATTAATGAAGAACATACCAAGTTCACTCAGACTGCAGTTACGAAAACCTGCAAAAGCTTCAATTGATTTCAATCTGTCATCCACATTCCCATCAAATGAACTCTCCGATATTAGCCGATCTTTTCTCGACATTCTGGCCGTATTTGAGGAGGGGTCCTATACAAAGATAAACCAAATGTCACAACAACGTTGTTGATCAACCTCAAAAATATTATTAACGTTGGATTTTTTTATAAAATATTTTATAAAAAAATCCAACGTTGCAACCAGAATGCCACAAACTTTTGGCATTCCAATTTTTCTAGTCAGTGTTTAGAAAAGTCAAGGTCGCTTCGCGCTAAAAACTTTTTGTTCTCTTGCACGCGTCGAGTCAGCTGGTACGATGGTATCAACTAGCATGCTAAACACTTTGTTTTGCTCCTCTAATTCTTTTCAGTTTCTTTTAGTTTCACCCGGAGCTAGTGATGTGTACTAGTCGTTTCAAAATGTCTATAAGATCTTATGGATGTGCTTTCAGGTCAATAAATTGCTCAAAATGGCTCGTCGAGGTGAATTCTTGGACGCTAAAGTCTATGTTGGTGGTTTGCCAGAAGACGCGACAGCTCAAGAAATCGAAGATTCTTTTCATCGATTTGGTCGAATCCGCAAGGTCTGGGTCGCTCGTCGTCCTCCAGGCTTTGCGTTTGTTGAGTTCGAAGACGCCAGAGATGCCGAGGATGCGGTTCGAGCGTTGGATGGAGGGTAAGGCATTCCTCTTATTTTTAATCTCAAGTTTAGTCGAATCTGTGGAGTGAAGGCTCGAGTGGAACTCTCACATGGTCGTAGACGCAATGGCGGCGGCGGTGGTCGCGGCCCTCCCTCTCGTGGTGGAAGGTATGTTTATTCTTTTCATGTCTACATCATGTGTAATATAATCCAAATTAATAGCGGATTATGTGATGTTTACTAAGTTTTTTGGTTGAATTTTGATGTTGTATTTGGAGTTTTTATTGCATTTAGCTCGAATTACATTTTATATGTTATCCATGTCTTTTGGACTAATTTTCCATTCTGATCGTTAATTTGGGTTTAATATTTTTAGCCGTTTCGACGGTCTATCGTCACTTCGCTCGATCTTCTTTCCTAGTCGACTCGTCGTCATCTGAGCGTTTCTTTCGCGAATTCAAAATCTTAGCGACATCCACCATCAAGAACAACCCTCTCTTGTTGGTACTACTCCAAAGTGTCTTCTATCCGACTCGGCTAACAACAGCGTCCATCTGCGGCAGCTCGGCCAGTTCGAAAACAGTTTAGGCGGAGCAAGGGAACCTTGTTTGTTTGGCCATGTTGTAGCTGCTAAAATTTTATGGTTCATACTGTAATATTCTGGTGGACACTACTCCGTGAGCCCGGAAACCCTTTGGCCTTGCTCTGCCTAGCACCGGGATCTCCGCATCTTGCCTAGAACTACTTTTGGTCACCTCCCACATCCCTCCACTTAGCGCCCATCCCCTCCCCACTCACCCATCGTATCTTCACTATTTTCGTTTGGCTGCGTCCCAAGGTTCTATCATCTTTTGTGTTGTGGTAAGGCTACAAGTATCGGCAGCCATGGACAAGACTTCAGTTGCAATTGGACACCATCCCGATCATGTATAATATAATTTATGTTCTAATTTCAGAGGAAGAAGTCGCTCCCCGTATGGCGGTGGAGGTGATCGTCGCCGCTCCAGGTCTCCAAGATACGACGAAAGACGTCGCTCTCCACGTCGTTCCTACTCCCGAAGCCGTTCTCGTTAAGGAGTTTGAAAGAAAACGAGTGTCGTTGAGCTCGTTGACTGATCTCCGAATTATTTGTAACCGGCCTCTAGAAATCTCAAATGTATGCCTCTTCTTTTGGTTTGTATTTCCGCAGTATTATTGAATTTTCATAATTAAATAAAATTAATGGCTGGAAATCAGATTTTTTGATGTTTGGATGAAAGAAAAGTTATGTAACAGAAGGTTGTTGTGACCGAAAAGGTCTTTGTTTTTGTGATAGTGGATTTGTCGATAATTTACAGAGTACAGGGACCTGATATAGTGGCAAAAAACATACCATTTTGCATCCGGGAATTATCAAAAATGTGATAAAATGCTTCCCTCTCCAAGTGAAAAAACCCCGATTTCAAAAGATTTTGTAAGGGAAAGGGCGCGCCCTTCAAAACGAAGTTTTTTCACTTGGAGAGGGAAGCATTTTGCCACATTTTTGATACTTCCTGGATGCAAAATGGTACGTTTTTTGCCACTGGATCAGGTCTCTTACTGTAGTATAAGATGCTAGACATAAATTTCCTCGGCTTATATCGATATAAATCACCGGAAGTTGGGGAATTACCTTTAAAAACTAATCTTCGCTCTTGCAACTATAGGTCCCCAACTCTCCGAGCCAATTATGAAGTGGAACGAAGCCCAATATTCGGGCTTGTCTTTTGACGTAACCGTTTGTGAACTTTATAAGAAGCAGTGCCCGGAGTCCAACAAATCCCCGCGAAATTGGCGCCGCTCACGATTCGCCCCCCGGGGATTGGTGTTTTTTTCGGCTGCGTGGAGTTCGACGCATCTTCACCATGACATCGGTCTGGGCGGAATTTCTTGGGACAACTCCGGGAACGTGGAGGGATGGGTAAATCTGGGGTCCCATTTTATTTTGGAGTGTGTTCTCCAGATTTGGAATGAAATATGAGGATTTTTTTGGGTTTTAGTAACCGTTTTGCGTTCTTAGTTGATCTTTGGGCCGTTGAAGTTAGTTTTGCGGGTTTGATAGGGTGCTAAACCAAGAATTAAATGGTGCCGATGAACGTTGAGAATATAACGTTTATATTATTTCAGTAAATTACATCGTTTAGAGTGCGGAGTTGTCATCATTTTTATCAACTGCCATGTATAATATTCATGTTCTCAAATAAATGTTTACCCTATTTTTGGTTCCTTGCCCTAACTTTTTTCTAAAGCCCTATTGCATTCTCGATTAACTCGTTTGTCCAGTTGATGTATGTTTAATTTCCTCAATGCCTTAAAAAGATAGACAACATCCAAAGAAGATCCAACCAACACTTGATGACAATTCCTACTTTTCATCCAATACTCTTTTATGACAAGTAAAACCACCCATTCCGTAATTCAGGATCTTAGTTTTCAATCTTGAAGCCTAATTTCCGTTACAAATTATGTTAACCATGGCACCCGCGGGGTCTAATCTCCGATCCAAAGTCAATATTTTGTTATTCCAGACCCTCAATCTTCGCGTCTTTCTCCTGCGGACATGCCCGAAAGGACATGCAGAGAATGTGTTCTATGAATTCCCTCGACTTCTGGAATGTAGAGCCCGGATCTTGACTCATCAACACCTTCAACCTCTCTTTTCTACTGCCAATCTCTTCTACATACGGGTTGTTTTTGTAATCGTCGAGAGAGTCCCAGAGAGCTTTGGGATTTGTAAGGAAAACGGGTCATGAAGGTGGAAGTCTTTGACTTGAAACTGATCAAGGAAGATGAGAGGCCGTATATTGGTGGGGATGACATCAAGGTAAGTGGATTTGACCGGGTTATCAATAATTAATTTTGGTTTCGGGGGGAGCGTTATTCATCATGACAATGCTTCAGAAAAATATGACTTATTTTTTTTTTTAAAATTTTTTCTTGTATCATCTAGACCCCCTTGAAAAAAATGTCGAATATCTAGGCCGGACCTGCAAAGTCACGCTAAAATTTTCTGTATCTTTTACATTATAGTAATATGATTTGTGCATATCCTTCTTAAAAAATGTGAAGATAATATTTATGAAGCACTTCATTTTTTTATTCATCAAGACGATGATGACTTATTTGGAAATAAATACCTGGAAGTTGTCGAAAATGGAAGAAAGACTATCACAGTTCTTTCTTACATAAATCTCATAAAAGCATCGATGATCAGTTATAAACGCCTTAGTTTCCAGGGTCAGATCATAATCCAGGTCCGAGAGCCAGTCCAAATCACCCGTCTAACTCTCCGACTTCAAGGCGAATCACAGACCGCCTGGATCGACAAGTACAGTGAGATCATGTACAAGAGCAAGGAATACGTCCTCAATGAGTACATCGATTTGACCAGTGAACTTCAACGGCATTGTACCGAGTCTATGCTGTTCCATGAGGGTAAACATGTAATGAACTTTCGAACCAAACTCCCTTTGGATGTGATCTCGTCCTTGGAACGAGACAACTTGGGCTATGTCAAGTATGCTTGTGTCGCTGTGTTGGACATCCCTGAGGGCGGAGACAGCGAGTTGGTTGCGGGTGAGAACTGTTTTATCTAATTTTTGTATTATCCGTGATATTAAGTCATCATTTAAAGTTGTTTTTGGTTGTTTTATGGCAGTGTGGATTTCAGAATGTGATTTCCGAGTGGTGTCATTCCTGAATCTGGACGCGCCCTATCTGCGGGAATCAGCATCGGACGAGGAGCGAGTCCATCTCATCGGATATTGTTGTCGGAAACCCAAAGGATTTATTCGAGCCAAGATGGAAGTAGGTCCATGTTTTGAGATCATAGAGCAAGATACATGTGTTGTTGGTCATTCTGAGGATGTTATGGACATTAAAAAAAAGAAAGATCATTCCTACATCAAAAAAATAGATATTTTTAGACAAAAAACCATAATTTTCATATTTTTTATGTAATGTATATTTCAGGTCACGGAAACTGGTATATTGCCTGGGGAGACCGTTAGGTTGAATGTAACATTCGAGAATACGATCAAAAAGAGGAAACGGAAGAAAACACCAAAATGCGCACTAATTTCATTATGTCAGCAGCTCGATTTCCGGGCCGAATCCACCTTGGAGAGGGGCCGAATGGGCGAAAGATCGATCACAATTGCTTTGAAAAGTCAGGTAAGTAAAAATTTATTCAAGCTTTTTTAGCCGGCCTAATATATATTTCGATTTCCAACTTTTCTCATCGTTTCAGGGCGCCTGTAAATCAGTCCCCGGCAAAGGTCCGGAAGATCGCCAAATCGACTTTGACGTCCCCGACCACCTTCCGCCGACCTCTATCAAGGCCCATGGACTCGTTACCGTCTCCTACTTTTTTCGACTGGACATGGAACACTTTGATGTGATCGTGCCGGTGGTAATCGGCTCGGTCAAGACAATAGGCTCACAAATCTTTCATTGAAGCTCAGTTTCTTGTTATTTAGATGCATAAAGAGTTTATATTTCTATTTCATTGACTAGGTTTGGGCGAAGCTCTTATTTATTGCAGTATGTCTTTATTTACAAGCTAGAGTCAATTTTTTCGTGTAATTTGTACTTCTCAATCAGCAGCAAACTGTCTTCCATGCAGAATCTGCATTTCAAAGCCGTCCTTGCTTTGATTGCTTCGAGCTCCGACTTGCTGACATTCAAATTTCCAGTCAAAATTCCAAAGAAATTCTGCCATTCCAAGGCCTGCAAGACCGTGGAAAGATCATAAAGCTCTTGGCAAACCTCCCGTGTGAATCGGGGATTCGGATATTCAACATGCCTCAAGTAGGCGTTGAAGTATTCGTCAATAGCGGCCTTTTCAACTCGTCTTCTTATATCAGGATCAGCACACGACAAGAATCGGGCTAGGTCGAATAAGGGATTGCCGCAGAAACTGAGCTGCCAATCGATTATCGCAGCAATCTCGTTTGATAAGGTCCCGTCCGACTGGAGAATTAGCATCAAATTACCGCCATGGAGATCGCCATGAATGAGCGATTCAACTCCTAATTCTTCGGCTCGAGTTTTGATGAGATAGGCAAAGGATTTCTTGTTGACAAATGGCTTCAGCTTCTGGGTTAAAGGGAAGAAGACTTCTAGAAAATTTTGTAGCAGTTTTATCAAAAATTTTACAAGTGAAATCTTGTGGAAAATATATAATATATTTTTTTTGTAATTAGCTTACTGTAATCGTATTCCACAAGTGTCGGAGTATGATCGATCATCAAATTGTAAAGCAGATCAGACTCCAACCTAAATGGATCACTGAGATGGGCATAGCTTTCCAAAGGTACTTCAGCCATCTCTGCTTTAAACTTTCCCAACTGATTTGCCATATTCAAACATAATTTATCTGTAATTTGACCAAACATCCCCAAGACCCCGGCCCTTCCCACCAAACTCTCCATCATCAAGTAGCCAGTGTCTTTGGCCACTTCCACAATTTGTTTTGCGCCATAAATTCTAGGAGCAATAGAGATTTGGTCTTTAAAAATATCATAGACTTGACATTCTCTGTTGTGGACAAGCGATAAAAAGTTCAAGTCATCTTTTTCAATGTCCAAACAAAACGCTTCAATGTAACGGGCGGTTGACGGCCTTTTCAAGACAAAAGAAAAACTCGAATTGTCATCAAAAAATACGGTAACATGGTAGATAATGGAAAGGTAACCGTCTTTGGAGAGGACTTGAATTAGCGTCTAAAAGGACGATTAGCGGTTTATAGCCACCTACTTTAGCGATCAATCTGTCCTTTTCTAATTGACGGAAATGTTTTGAGGAACGAGCAATCGATAATACAAATAGCTCGGAGATATCATCAATCGTCATGTCAACGGTGAAAAATGCACCTCAAAGTGAGGTAGTACAAGATAGAGTTGGTATTTATACGGGTAACCAACATTGCAAATTCTTTGAAGCGAACATGATTGGCTGCGAAATGATGATATAGGATCTAAAATTGTAATACTTTACTGCATTTCTATTTTATGTTGTAAAAGGATTTTGTTCTCTAGAATGTAGCCATCGCACTTCCTTATGTGTTTTGTGGAGTGTGTTTTTTTGACAAACAGTTCAGTTTTCTCGTTTTTCAATCCTCCGCTCACATTTCATCGTATAAAACGTCCAATAAATCAATTGTGGTGTTTCGTCGCCCTAGAATATTTCTCTTTTTGCAAGATTTTAGATTTTGTTGAATTAGATACCTTTTCAACATGCAGGCCGACGATATCACTTGGCAGGTTATAAACAATGGGCATTGCTCATTCAAAACAAAGTAAGTTTCTTATCTGGCGTTTTTATTCCGTCTTTAGGACCAAAACACAGAACTTCTGCCGAAATGAGTACAATTTGACCGGTCTCTGCACAAGAAAGGCCTGTCCTCTCGCTAACAGTCAGTATGCCACGGTTCGGGAAGAAAATGGTGAGTTGGTTTATTATACAAGAGGTTCAGAAATGAGCTTGGAAGTCGGAGGGTTTTGGGCCTCGTAAAATTCTATTCCCTAGTTTGAAGGTTTTGTGTAGTGCTTAGACGATTATTTTTTCAGGTATATGCTATTTGTACATGAAAGTAGCTGAGAGATCACATTTCCCTACCAGACAATGGGAGAAGGTAAAATTGAGAGCGAACATGGCCCAAGCCGTCGGGCAGATCCACGAAAACCTTCTGCATTGGGATGAGTTTGTCCGGCAGAAATGTAAAGCAAGATTAGTTCGAATCCATCAATATCTATTGAGGGCCAGAAAGATGAAGTTGAAGGGAAGGTAAGTATAATACTTTTTGATGTTATTGTTTCTTTAGGGATAAGAAACTAATTCCAATTGGACGTAAGGCTGAGCGCAAAGAGATTAGAAAGGAAGAAAAGGCTTTGATTGCTGCCAAGTTGGACACGGCTATTGAGAAGGAACTTTTGGGACGGCTAAGGCAAGGGACCTATGGAGATATCTACAATTTCAATCAGCAAGCCTTTGAGAATGTGCTGGAAGAAGAAGAAACAGAAGAGCTTGAACAAGAAATTGAAGTTGAGAATGAAGTTAATGAACCAGAACGTCAATTTGTCGAGGATTTCGAAGAATCCGATGAGGAAAATAGTGATATTGAAGATGCGGACAGAGGCTTTGACGCGAGTGGAGATGAAGAAATGGACTTTAGTGGCTCAGATGATTCTCAGGCAACAGATTCGGAGGAAGAAGCGGATGAAAATGAGGAAGAAGGGGCCGATGAGACATTGGAATTGCCGGATACTGATGATGAAGAGGAAGAGCCAGCTGCAAAGAAGGCGAAGAAGACAAAGGCCAGTGGAAAGGTATGGACTTTACAGAGTTTTAGGATAGAGAATTTATGATTTTTTTGGTTTAATCAGAAAGACAAATTTGGATTATTTTTATACCATCCATGTCATTTCAGAAGAGCGTCAGCTTCTCCAAGGCCCTCCCAACTGTCAAAAGGAAACCCCAGAAGAGCCGGCTTCGGCCTCGGATCGAGATCGAATACGAAACAGAGCCCAAGGTCCGCGAACGACAACGCCGTTGATATTGTTATTTGTTACCTTGTTAAGTTTGCTGTTCTAATCTTGTTTTTACCGATAAAATATAATTTAAGAGAAATTTTATTATGGCATTGCTTTTTTTTGCTAATTGGCTTCGATCCACGAAAAGTTTGTAAATTGCTGACATAAGGTGGAATCGAAAAGTTTGGCTTACGTAATCGTATTATAACATGCTTGGGGTTATTAGCTATGGTCGAAAGTTTTTTCCATGAAAACATATGGCATAATGGTAAATTGGTGCTGAAGTTTAGGCGCCAATTAGAGAGTACTGTAAATTCTCGCAGTAAATATAAAAATCCAATATTTTTATTCCAAAATACGAATATATCTGGCTACTTTCCCCCCGAAAAGAAAGACTAATGTCGCTACTTCCGAGCCCCTTCCATATTTGGCGCAACAAAGCTCACACTTCTTTGGGATCTTGTCGGATCAATGACATACCGACCAGAAAAGTCCGCGAGTCAAGTGCACTGTTGGGACACAGCAGTGCGCCAAAGATTAGGCCAGCGCCTTTCTCTTCTTGTTCCTGGCGTTTTTGTTGCGCGAAAATCATCGGAACTGCTGTTTTATTGTACATGGGAGGTGTGGATGTAATTTGATTCCTTGAATTTTGAATTATAGTATGTGTAAATGTATGTGTAATATGTATATATATGTGTAAAATTAAAAAAAAATATTTTTTGATACATTTTATGTGACCGCAAACTTAGCAGTCCATTTGTCCCTTTCAAACCCGATAGCTTGGAGCTATTTTGAACTTTAAGCCGCTCAATTGCTCCCCATAACCATATCCAACTCATAATTGGTCGGTTAATCTCATAAGCCGCCTGTAATTACATTACAGGGCCATCCGATCCAATTATGATATGCACAAGATCTGTGGCTTTAGGCGTTCGAAAAACTGGTGTATAATTTCACGTAAGAATCGGTAATCGTATCTTGGGTAAGAATATCAGTGGCTCTATCTCAAAGAGGTCGGTCGAGTTTATTGGGAACCTTTTTTTTATATTATCCTTGTCTTTTCGAAGGCTTAACAAAACGTCCCGAGCTTCGGTCAATTCTGTTTAGCCCTCTAGCCATGATTTATTTGAAATCGGGACAAATCGAGCGTTGCGTGTCCCGTAAATTAAGCCTAAACGGAAGCGAGTGAAATGGCCGTATTTTAGTCCCCGCTTGCACCTGCCCGTTTCCTTCGGCTTTATCGTGTCTTTTGTCCGAATTGAATGGGAAATTCGGGCAATGTAATAAACGGCCAATGCATGTCCACTGGCCGGGTGAAATCATCGCGAGGAAGGGCGAAGTTGAAGATGCTAGGCCATCCTTTTATGGGCGATTTTTTGGGATATTTTAATAAGAAAGTTTTAGCTCGCGCTTTCCATCAACAGCCGAAGTATTCGATGATTTTTTTTAGAGAGAGTGAAATGATGAGATCCGGTCAGATGATCCTGAAATTTCTAAGCCGAAAGTTGCAAAAAATTATGAATTCTTTTCTGATTTGTAATCCAAAAATCTCTGAAATCTCTGCATTTTTTGGACAACGCGAGCTAGAAATTTTGCTAAATCCTTATAAAATTATACTCTAAATTTGAGCTGATTTTCTTTCAATTCTGTTTGCCCTACTTTTAAATTTCCTTGTTAGAAAACTTTGAACTAAAACTTTGTCATTGTCTGCCAAAGTCGAACCAACATCTTGGCTCACTTTACCATTCTCCTCGATTAACTGCCATCACTGTTGCCTGATTACAATTATTGACTATTTTCCTCCTCCAATTCCCTTCTTCCATCCCTTTTCACTTTGCAATCTCTTGTTTACTCTCTTAGATTTGGGTACCCCAAATACCCCGAAGTCACAATCCATCCAGAAATCGCTTAATGGATTTGTTTACACAAGATTCATAGCCTCTGTCTATTTCATTTGCATATTTGTGCAATTTTTTATTTTCCTAATTTTGGTCTTATTCTCCAAGCTGAGGCAGCTCCATAAATATGATCGGAGATGATTAAAAGAACATAAAACTTTACGTTCGTTTAATGATCGCCTCGTAAATGGCCGATCACTTTTGCCTCTCCTCCCGTTCTTTGCCACAAAATCTCCCAATTTGGCGCGTGCTCGCGTTGCGCAACACCAGCCACCATTAGGGTCGCAGAAACGAAAAGATGATGCGAAAACAGAGGGCACAGAGCGAAATGTAAGCGTTGTAATGGGTGTTGCGCTATAACGGAACAGACGGCGAGGGGCTGGGGAAAATTGGATTCAACTCGAAACGATCCCCATATATGGAATAGATAGAATTACCGGGGATTTGAGGACAAGCCGTCACAATATTGAGGTCGATCGAGAGTTGCGGCTCGCTCGGCATCAGAGGGTAAATATGTGGAGGATCATGGTTTGATGGGGTGGTTTATTTGCTGGATTTTATCAATGGGTTGGTCCTGGTTTTGATCAAAATTTAGCTTTTCAATTTATGTGATTAAGAATATTTTTGATGACATTTGGGAAAGAGGATGAATCCAATTTTCCACTGGCTTTACAATTTTTTTGAGCTTTTTAAAGCTGATTTTTGTCTTGACGAAGCGTGGGTCAAATTTTAATTTTAAAAGATTTAATTTTTTAAAGTGCATGCAAATTTTTTAAGTAAAAATTTTTTGAAAATCATATTTCTCCAGCTGATTTTTCTTATATTCAACTACACCTTTTTCCCATCTTCTCTCTCATGCCGCTGAATTAATAATAAAAATTTTTTATTTTCTTGTTTCCAGGACCCTCTTGACCTTTCTGTAACGGGCGTTCGTGTCATCGTTTTCATGAGTAATTGATTGCGCACTGGCCCGAAAAATAAGTTATATTAGTCCAAATGCTTGCTTTTGGTTTCGATTTTTCCATGGGCTTTGGATTCCTCTGTATTTTCGGTCTTATACTTTAATTAAAATAGTAACGTGATGATTTCAGCTATTATTTTTCTGTCTGTGAGGCTAGGTACCTCATAAACGGGGGTTTATTTTTATTCTCATCTCCAAATTTGATTACAATACGGGTGAATTTAATTTTATTGTGTTTTGAAATACTGTGACTTAAGGATGGCCCCATTTTGGACTGTTTCAGACCCCATTATTCCTAATGTTCGCCTTATGGAAATTTTATGGGATTTTGGCGGAAAATTTGGAGTTATCCATAAATGGGACTTCTATGAGAATTCCCCTCTTATTCATTGGTTCCAAAAAAATGTTTTGTCTTTTCGATCTTATAACTGTTTCTCAGTTCAGGAAAAGTTTTTTGAATAACAAAAAGAGTCTTTTTAATTTTTGGTCATCTAAAATAATATAAGTGGTAGAAACAGGGTAAAATAATGTTTTCCCAATCTTTATAATGCCCTTATCGGATTCGAAATCAGTCAGGAAATCCCCATTGTGTTTGGAGACTTGAGAAAAAGATGGATCGTTGATTTATGCAATCGAAATGGCAGCAGTGGATATAATGTGTGGTGATGTAAGAGGTGGTGTAGTTTTATGGGAATTTTGAGGGTTTCATTGAATTTCATTTGTATTTCTCTACTGTAAATTGTCAAAATCAGCGTGGGATGTCATTATTTCTTATTTTTTTGAGTTTTTAGGCTTGAGTTTTGATTAAAATTTCTAGCAATTCTTTGACGGGGAAATCAAAGCTGGGCAAAACAAGTCACATGTCCCCTCGAGAGGACCCCCTTATATCATTCTGCGTATTCAAATTCGCTCTGAAATCCCATAAAAACTGAGAACCCCAAAGAATTCCGGAGCTCTTAATGGCCTCCCCACAATTGACCTCCTCGGCACGGCGCCGTTTCTCCGAACTTCCGAAGCCCCCCTCTTCAACCTTTCCTTGATCGGGTTTTGAATTTTTTGGAGGGTAGGAAAAACGGTTTTAGTAGGTTTCAAGGATATTAAGGAGGGCGCGCCATGAAGTCTATTTACTGGGTTCCTCGGAATTTGAATTTTTTTTGCGGTCCGCGAAGCTGTCGGCTGTTATGATTTAGAGAGGAAATGGGGGATTTGTCTCGTTGATTAGTTGCTGGGGCGATTACAGTAATAGACTGAGTGCTAGAGGTGAGATGGATATATTTTCTTGGATTTTTTGCGGGCCTTAGGCTAACTACTGCAATTTTTTGGTAAATCAGATCACCTTGCCATATCTTTGGATAATTTTTGCGCCAAAAAATGCCAAAAAACTAAACGCGTTCCTTTAGTTCTCGACGGGAAAAACTGTCGCTCTCTTCCAACTGTATTCTTTCGACATGAAAAATGTTTTTCTGTCGAAGTCCGAAGCGATACAGACAAAAACTTTTTTCTCTGACCGTCTCTCTTCATTTTCTATTGTCTCTAGTCAACGATAACCGCTGAACATTTTGATCCAGATTCCTTTAGGCGTTTGAATGAGGCCATTTAATTGCCTTGCTTCCTATTTTTGCTATTTTTTTTGTCCACGAAAAGTGATCAAAACTTATGATTCAAAGATTTGAACTTGACTTCACATCTCACCCCAAGATATCCCATTTCCCCCGTGATACTAGCCTTCAAATCCCCGAGCATCCATAAACCACCTCCAAATATGTAAAACGGTGCTTTGCCCGCCTTTAATCGCATATTTCTCCAATTACTGGCGCTGTCCCCGATTGAAATGTTGACAAAAAGAAGCCAGCGAACACCTGTCGCTTGGCCTCGAAAACTTGATCTTGCGCATACAAAAAAAGTTGGCTGAATCCTCGAGATTTCTCGACGCCAAAACCAGACGGAATTGTCAAATAAACACTGAAATTGAGACGTATATTAAGCATGTTGGACATGGATAGGGATATCAAGTTGTTATGGAAGGCAGAAAGTCTGGCTGACTTTTGGCAGATCCGGGATTAGATCACCGAAAACACCTGCACATGCACTCTCGACACTTTGCGCGGCTCTTTATGGCTATAACGGCACTTCAGCTCCATATTGGATATTTCCGGCAATGCGG